CTATCAGTTAATGAAAGTACATTCTCATCAAGATCTTCTACAAATAACTCAGTTATTTTATAACAAAATAAGTATTTAAATTGACATTTACGCGGTTTGTCGAAATTTCTTTAAAACGATTAGAAATGATACTTTCTATCAGTTATTACTTCTCATTATCTATTGAATTGTTTCAATTCCAAATGTTGAATTGATGTTTTTGATCATTGTGAATTATATAAGCATAAAACTTCTGGATTAACAGTTATCTTTATAGTTAATAACAAAGCAAAAGTCGAAATTGATTGTAGTATCTATTGCGACATATCAATATTATGTCATTTCAATGCTCAGCTGATTTAAATAAGAATGATGACAAGTGGTTTTCATTTCTTCACCCATATTTAATACATAGTTAGTTGATAATATATAGATATCTTATGTAGCCAAAATAAAAATGTAGATCTAAATGATGATTCGCTTATGATAAGTAATATAACTTCAATAGTCATCTGTGACTGATATATTAAAGAAATCATGTGTGCCTTTGGTTTATTCCATTAAAAATCTATTTCGAAGAGTGACAAATATACTGTTGAATATAAATGATTTAACTACACTGTGCATAGTATGTAATAACATTACCAGTTTATGAAAATATTATATATGTCTATAGAGTTCTACAGAACAAAATTAAATAACTATTACCAAAGTATTTGATCTTAATCCACTGGTCTGTTAGAACTAAAAAGACCTTGGAACTTTGAAGGGTATAATGTCACATACTACATAGGCATTTCATAAATGAATAATCGAAACATCGTGGATGTGTGACTTATTTCGGTAGTATTTACTGAAGAGAAACAGGATTCAGTATTTGGTTGGCACAATATATCCTTACAAATGAGATCAACTTTAAGGTGTACACTATAATCTAATTTTAACAGTTTTATGTTTATACAGTGTTGTTAACATATACAAAGTTCATCCCATGAACCATACTTTGGTTAAATTATTTATACTGTCTAGACTGTTTAACACTGCCAATTCTAAAGTTGTAAGGAACAAGACATTGTGAGATAATTAGTTTTGTATAGTTGATGAAAATTTCAATGAAAAGTAAAAAATCACTTTTTTTAAATTAATTACATTCTTTACTCTTATGATGTCCGTTTTTCATTCAAAAGACCTAAACAGATCAACGAAATTATTGTAATAACATTCTGCTAATTATACATAATGAAGTCAAATATTTTTTCATAAAAACGACTTACATAATGCAAAGTAATTTTACGAAATAACTTTTCAAAAATTATACTTGAACGTGTACACTGATAGTTATTATTTCTGTTCACACTATATAAAGTATATGTCTTTTCACATCCAACGATTATGAAACAACATTACAAATGCTGACTTGATATCAACTTTGTGACCAGTCTCAATTAAATGTTTCGCAATGGAGGAAGATGTCTGTCTATCGTGTGATCATTCTTGACCATTGGAATTCATTTGTTTCTGCAACCATTTTGGTATGTGTTCACCCATGCAACAAGAAATTGGGAAATTAAGCTTATCAATATTTGTATTTAATATCACTTATTACCCCAAAGAGTTTTTGAGTGTATCTGGTATGAAATGAATTCAAAATTTAATGTGTAGATTTGTGTGGTATTGTCGAAAATTCAATGAATAAATGAGGGTTTTCTCGATGATTTTGGACACATCTATCGTATTTTTGATTGCCCAACTAAAAGTACAATTGAGTCTTGTTAGAGAGATCCAGATTATTTTTCGAAAAACGTTCAAAGGTGCACTGAAAACGTTGGAAAACATTTTGTCCAGTCAGAGTTGAATAGAAGTTTCTCAGAAACATTTGAGAAGTAAAGAGTCATGTGTCATATTTCTGATTGGATGGTTATCTATCCTGCTACTATGTTTAGTATGTTTCTAGAACCCTCAAGAAACACAAAGCCGTTTAAAATGCTACAAATACTCAGATTTTCTGCACACAAACTAACCTAAGAGTAAAGTGTTCTAAATTTCTCGCATTTTCTCTCCCGTTCAATTTCTCGTATAGATTTAGCCTTTCGTTATTGGAAGAGCTTAGGAAGCTGATTCAAGAGTTCAGACAGAAGATTTAGAAAGTATATTAAGCTTATCGAAGTTTTTGGTGACAAAAAAAATAGTCATATACTTTTTTCTTGAAATTAAGGGAACGTAATTCGAGATAATTCAAAAATATAACTCGATATAATTCTCTATTAGAGTCATATCCAGGGTGATTGAAATAAAGGATTATATTTTTTCATGTTGGCCTACCTTTAATTGACTCATGAATTCAAGTAATAAACTACTAAAATCTCCACAAAACCCCCCTTCTGATTTGATTTGTTAATCAACAGTTACCATAGTGTAGCTATCTGTACCTTATATTGTCTTTTCAGATTGCTTAGATTCCCTCCACATATATAAGGATTGGACTTTTAATTTTTCTTAACATTTTCAAATCATTTGGTCAAATTAAATTCAGTCTTATGTCCTGTTTTTAACTAGATTAGTGATATTGCTGAATTTTTCTTTAGTTTCTTGATATGTTTCGAAGATTTAGAAACATGTTTGAAATATTGTGTTTGTTTAGGATCATTATGATCTCCCACGGTACAGAATGACTACAGTTTAGATTCAGTTTATCAGAAGATATTACACTTTTTTCTTTTATAACTACAGTTAAGGGTAGTGATTCACTCTTATTTTAAACATGATTACATTTACTACTTTGTGGATGCTGTGAATGTTTCAAAAGTAGGGGAAAAATACTTGTGAAATCGTTCGTTTCTTTAATTGAAAATTTATTAATTGTAATGACGTATAATTAGCACTGGTTCCTAACCAAATCCATTAAAAAAATCATATTTTCTTAGGCTGACCAATATACTTTCATAACGTTCGTTCTCAAATAGACTATTTGATGTAAATAATAATTAGTCAATTTCTAGTGGACTAACCAATTGATATCAATGATGTAGATGATTACTCTGCAGATTCCAAAATGCTAAACAATGAATTATGCTATATAGTCACAGCTTCCAGTCATTATAAAACAATATTGGTGTTGAGAGTTTGGCTTGTTAAAAAAACGGTTGGAAGAGTCACTTAAACTCTCGTAAGTAAATAGATATTTTTGGTGTGAACAGAGAAACAGAGAAGTTATGACAAACAACGGAAACTAATTTGGGGAATGTTATTTCACATAATTCAAAGCTTGTAAAACATTTATTTTTGTTCCTATTTTATTCTTCAAACCATAACTTTCGTTTGATGTATGGTTTAATACCATACGCTCTTTGTTCCAAAGTTATTGTAATTTAAACATAACCTTTGCTACTCTATTTCTCCACCCTAATCCCCGGTTTTGGAAATAATTGTATTTTCTTAATGCACTAATTATTACGTCACATCCCATTGTATTTACCAATTTACATGTTTATGTAGACACACATACATAGGGAGGAGTAATCGAACAATACAATCAAGGGTCAATGGACATGTGCCTAGGAGGTAGTAAACCAAGCTCATCGATAGCGAAACATATAATTGAGACGGGGCACAAAATTAACATTAATACAGCATTTAGAATGTTGTATAGAAATTATCAAGGTCGAATTCTTAAGTTTATTGAAGCCTTGACTATTCGTAAATTTAAACCCCCCTTATGTGTACAATAACAATTTGTCGTAACCTTGAATTTACCTTGGTAATCCTAGGATAACGCGACAATTTCTTATTCTTTCTCTCCCCTTAGTTATTTTGATTGTACTTTTATTTGTTTGACCTTTATTAATTTTCATATAAAAATGCCCTGACAAGTATATGTGTGACCAGATTGTTCGAAATGTATAGCGTTAATACATCACATTTTTACTACTCTAGTATGTTATTTTCATCTTCAGATAATAAATAGTAACAGAAACGGTTCATTCAACTAAATGATCACCTAATAACATTAAAAATTAGTTCCCTGTCAACTTGTTATTTCAACCTCAGGGTTTTTAATTCTTGATACTTAAAGTCATATAAACGTCAGAAATCAGTCTGTTTAATCATCAATTAAATGTAATATCAATTCATAAGCAATATGTGTCGATTCGTTCTCTCAGTTATTGATAAGTATTCTCGTCAAAATTTATTAAACAGAAGTAGAGCACTTTCACTCAACACTGTTTTAATCGTTTTTTTTAGATGTAGACTGTATGGTTCAACTTACAGTTTATAGTTTCTTTTTATTTGATAATGAAGCGTGATTAGTTTAGTTTGAACATTTATTTTAAGAAAGCATACATACATTTCTTATCAGAAACAATTAATCACTATACAAATAGGTAACATCAAATAAATTCTTCCCAATCGCATTTATACAAAATCATTTTGTTGGTAAAAATTTGTTTTTTGGAGGTAGTGTTGTGAGTTTATGTCCGGCTTTTTACCAAGTGATTTATCCAACAATCAAAATACGACTTATACAATCTTAATACTGTGCCAAACCAATGACATTCGACCGGTATAAGAAGCCTAGCGTCCTTATTGGTCCTATGTCCGCTTAGCCCGTCCACTTGAGTCCAGAACACCAATACCAGCTTCCAATATGCGAATCGAATCTTTTATTTCAGACATACTGAGTTTATATATCAATCAAACAGACCGCAACGCACCATAAAATAGGAAATAACATTTGTACACAATAAAGCCAAAAAGTGGCTGTGAACATGGGAGGTGGTAGTCAATAAACTGAACATAGCTTAAGAACAGTAAATCGTACAATAATAAATTATAGGTCAAAATAAAGCTTATAATAAGAGGAATATAAATATACATAATCGAGTTATTGAATAGTTATACCATAAAAATGTATAGATCATATTAGTCAATTAACATGTCTCAGAAATTACTCGTGATTTAATCTTCGCTCGGATATAACAGGTAGAGTTTATTGAAATGTAAAAAAATATAACTTTAATACACTATTTCGAAATTTTGGTTTGTTCATCATATATATTCTCTGAAGTGTTTTCCATCTGACTGATATTCATATTTTTATTGGTTAATCCATATAAAAATCTATCAAAATGTTCACAGAAAAATAAAACACATTTTTCCTCAGGATATTCATCGAAAATCATGAAGACTTCATTGAAATTCTGGATGAATTATTCAAAAAACTTTTGATGAAAACATATTTTTAGTTTAATTTTTTCAGAAGTATAAGAAATAGTCCGGAATAAAGAAACTAAATACCTGCGTTAGTATTTTACTTTGTATATCAGTATCATGAATTAGAAAACTTAAATTTAACAATTTTTAACAGAACAATAAGTTCCCTTAATTTACCAATTCATTGAACATTAAAGTAAATCAGTTTTGGTTTAAATCAGTTACCTATAAATTTAAAAATATGATGTAAAATTTATATCGATGTTGCTAAGGTTACAATATAACATTGATCCACGGTCATTGTAAACCCTTTATTTAGAAAAAAATAACCATTATGTACAGTTAATAATCGTACACCCAGGTGTTAAAACGATATTTCACAAGATATTTATGTGAAATTACAATGATTATAAGATTATCAGCATAGAGGTTGGGGAGATTGTTAAGTTTTTGATTGAGATCATGAACCGATTGACGTTAGACCACCATTAAGCGTTCGCGCGCGAGACTGAAGGCCCTGGGTTCGTGGATGCGCACCGCTGTGGAGTTCCACAATAAGATGAAACGGCAGTCCAGTGCTTCCAGGTTTTGAATGATGGTCTAACATCAGTCGGTTCATGATCTCAATCAAAAAGATCATAAGACTGATTGCTTACTTGATCATAAAACATTTTGGAAAACAATTTTTATAGTAAAACATAAAGATAACTTGTTCAATTTGTGATCACAATAATAATACACTAAACCTTAATACATTATAATCAGGGATGGATGGTGGCTAGTAATGGAGTCCAGATTAAGAAAAAAAGCTTACGGAATCATTTAATGAATCTTATAGTCGATATAAGATAATGAACTTTGAGTGTAATGTTTACTTTAACTTTGAAAATAATCAATGTTGACTGTTCTGTTAGCATCAAAGTGAACAACAAAGAGGGAAGATTAATCAATTAATAAAAATCAATTAAATGATCATAATTTAAATAATTTTATTGTTTATAGCATACTGTTTTTTCGTAAAGCTATTAAAATATTCTGTAACTCAGCCGTTAACATTATATCATCAGCCTTAAAGCAGTACCACTCACCATCTAAGTAAACTTATTATGTATTCCTTTATTAGTCATGCCGTTTTCAAGAGTTTAACGGGATATTAGGGTAAATATAAGAAATGAAATAAGGATCATTGTCTCAGTGGTTGAAGCTAACTAAATTAAGATTTCTAGGATGGACCTAGTTCGAAATCTTTCATTTGTAAACAAAAACATGTTTAGTGTTCACAACAGTAAGAACTCTAACAAGGGAAATTACTGGTTTAATTTGTTTAATTACTAATTAATTTATTAATTAAGGGATCAAATTAAACTTATATTAGTTCTCTTCATATTGTTTGGATGTAAAGTGGCAACTTACCGAAATTAACATTAATCTATGCTTCTATTCTCTAAATCATTAGCTTACTGGTTTTACACTCGGCTTGTTAGTGAAGTTATTTAATGTCAGACGGTCAGCTCTATATTTTTGACAAATCTTAATGAGATATTTTTCAATGTTCTTTTTGTTGTCTGAAAAAAGTAAAAACCTTATTTTGTTTGAAATTACTTTGTTTTTTTTTTCTCTTCTGTTGATGAAAATCGAACGATTGTAAGGTATTTCAAAGTGGAAACATAAATTCGTTAGTTAAAAAAGAAGTAGATTGTAATGTTAAACTTCAATGTTGACATCTATTGTCTTTTGAGAAAAATAATATGCTTTTGTTACATTTATGTATTGATTCTTTGACAAGAAGATAAGAATTTGTAAACGGTTACCTTTAGTTAGTTTATGGACAGTACAATTAATGTTCACAAACTATGTGAAAATATGTATTTAAATTGCATTAGCTCTATACGTATCTGTTTGCATATTAGTGTACTTTGAAATACATCAGATAGATCTTATTGGACAGTACACAATTTTCTACTTGATTTCTTCTTAGGCTTACAAACTGTAAACTTGTGGAAGTTCTCTTGTATATAGAAAAATTGAAAATAATGATGGTTACGATGCTGATATTATAAACTTACTTTGTTAAACATCAATCACAGTTCAGTCTCATTACATCTAAGTTCATATAATTAAAATGATTTACGAAATAACTTATTTATCAAGTATACATCTATGCATCCGGCTTTGATCAACAAAGTACACGTGATAGGGATTGATTAACAGAGTCGTTTAGGAAATGAATGGGTTGAACTCAAAACATTGGCTTCGGTAAATTAGATGCCCATTCGGATAGATAAATAACAGCCAATATAATTTACCGTACTTTTTTAAAAAAAGTGTCATATGACATGTATCTAATGCTTGTTATATTTTTCGGTAAAGTACTTGCATGGTTATTGTTTATTTCACATTTAACTTGAATGGACTGTTTTTTAAAATTTACACGTTGAACAATGTGTTGAACGAGAAGATTATCTGTAGTAATCTAATAGTTTCATTTTTAGTATCCATACTAATAAGGATTACTTTATATTCTACTACGCTGCTATGTAATTCTTTTAGTATTTATTTCAGTCATTTTACTGTTGGATACTATGAATAGATAAGCTTCACAAATATTGCATTTAGAGAGATTTTTGTATATCAAGTCGTTGACTGTCGATGAGAATCAAGCGCTCAACATGGTATTGATCCTTTAAATATAGAAATTATTTTCAGTTTATTATTATTAATTCAAAAGATAACGAAATCTGAAATCCTGTTTAATCACTAAGTAAATCGTTAATCTTATTTATAGTCTCTCTTGTTTACAATAATGAACATGGTAATTTACTATATTTTGTAAAACCTCAAACTTTAATCCTGTTTATGATTTTATCAGCCCTTTTTGTGTACCAGTTGGTGTGATGCAATGATATGATCATTGGTTTAATTCCCAAAACAAATTTCATCCAGATGGACCAAACATTCTGAAAGTAATAAGGTTGATTTGACTTAATCGACACTTTCATAGTTTGTACAACGGTTTCAACTATCAAATAAATATTAGAAATAAGTTGTAAATGTTCTTTTTATCTCGATAAGGTGAATAATTACTAACAACAATTAGTAAGTAGTTATGTTCAATTTGTTAAATTTGTTTTGTGTTATCTTCAATATTAGGCAGATTGAACCCATAATTCTTAGATAATTTTATTACATTTAAAGTTTTCCCTGAGAACCTTTACTTTTGTGAAGTATTTTCTCTGAGATTCTTTTGTGTATTAGAAATGCTGAAGAAGAAAGATTTTAAAAATAAATCAGTATTTGGTTTTCATTGAATTAAATCTACATAAATAACATACCCAGTTGTTATCAGTGCAATAATTATCAAACTGGAACAGACCAAGAATACAGCACCAGGGAATAGATCAGTTGTTGAAGAATAGATTGAAATTAATACAGAAAAACAAGTAAGTACGCCCAATCGTGATACAAACGCCACAACTGAATGTATCATACCTGTTAAAATGAAAAGAAAAACACGGAGGTAACTGAACAAAGGAACATCATAATTATTTGAGTTACGTAAAGTTATTATGAGAAATTGATGAAATATACGCTTTCCAAATGAAAAAAACACATTGGGAACTATCAAAAAATATACAAACCATATAAAGTTTTCTACATTAGATATCTGACTTTCCTATACTTTGTCATAATTACAGTTAAATAAATTGGATCTATTTAAAATGAATTCGGTACATTTCATGGAACTTATTTAGACTATTCGTATTTCTGTCTCTCTATATAAAGGATTTTAATATCCTATAATACTAGACAAGAATGACAAAACTATAAAAACTAAAATACCACAATGTTATAAATTTTATTTTACGTTTGTATACATGAGACATAATGCTAGGCACTAAACTGACTATGGTTTTGTGCATTTTTTAAAAAAGTAAACGATAACAAATGCATCTGACTATCTGTATAATCAATTTATCATTTGTATATTAAGAATATTTTACCTTTCATATATGCACTAAAATTATACTACAAAGAATGTATTCACTTTAGGAATATAACTGATGTTTATAAACCAACAATAAAGATTTTGAACAGTAATCCAGCAAGTATGAATGCTTTTCTTAATGAGGTTCATAAATGTTAAAATTAGGGAAAGAGGTTCATATTAAATGGGAGAAATATATATAGTGATCTTAGTCCGAGATATTAATATTAATGATTTATTGTAGTATGAACAATGGCGTTTAAAAACTGAATACATTATGAATAATTCAAGTGGAAATCGTAAATCTATAGTCAGAATCTAAACTGATTGTATAAAATATATTCTTATATAAAAATTGATTCAATTCAATTAGATGGTTTACATTAGGTTTAATAGAAACTGTAGTTAAGTCCCTAAAACTATTCAAACCCTGTAGGTTTCTTTTAGTGCTATTACTATATATTTCTTTTTCTTTAATGACTCCTCTCGTCATACAGAAAAAACTGAATTGGTCATTTTTCTAATAGTCTTCACTTGGTAAACTTTACACTATACAGACTACAAAGAAGTAACCGTTTTTAATCAACCAACTTTAATTCAGAGTTTTCAACAAAGTACCGAAGCCTCAGAAACTTGTATAAACTAGAATAAAGTATATATATATATATATATATATATATATATATATATATATATATATATTCAGGAATAAAATGTCTGGCAACTATTGGTTGAGAAGATCAAGAAGGAGAGAAAAGGAATGAAAAAGCATTTGGTATGGAAATGGAGGAACAATGAAGTCTGAGACAATTATTGAACATTTTGGAATTGAAGTATTGGAGTATGGTTTTTCTATTTTACCAAGCAACCCTGTAATTTTGTGCTAAATATAATCGGCTGTCCTCACCTATGTTCTCCTTCACTACACTATGTCTGGTGTTTGCAAACTTCATAATTTCCTTAATATATAATTAAATAAATGCCATCTCAAAAAATAAAATAACTTATGGCTTTTATGGCATGCCTTCACTAAAGCGTCCATTAACGATATCAATTAAACCTAACAATCTCCTCAATCCTTTACTGATAAATGGTATTTGTAAATATCTTATGATTATAGCTAATGAAATACATCCTTAAAACTGACTAACTCATACTATATATATTAGTATTAGTGAATTCTTTTTTCCTAGAAAACTAAATGTTAACAGTATTCTTGAATCAGTGCTATTCAGTATAATAAACTTCATTTAAGGCAATAATTGTAAATCAGTTACATTAAAATAATGCTAGAATATTTGTATCATCAATCACTTACCCTGCTTTTTCTGGTCAGTCCACATGGATATAAGGGTTCTTAGTATTGGATTATTCAACCCTTTAGCAAATCTTGGTATGGTAGCTGAATAAAACAAAGTAAAAAAGAATTAAAGTGGATGTAAGGAATTTTTGTGTAGAGATAGAAATATTAGAAACACTATTTAGCTTCATCTTTTACATTTCACCTTGTATCAGAAGAAAACATAAGAATATTGGGTATAAGTATAATATACTGACAGCCTTGAGTTGCATAATCAGTATTAGGAAAAATATCCCAGATATTTTATGTGAAATTTGAAGTAGAGTAAGCGATAACTTGTATATCATTACTGACAAAATGAAAATATGCAATAATTTATTTTCAAAATGCATGGAATTAATAAAAATGCCTATTATCCAGCTAGAAGTGAATTCAAGGTGGTACTTAAGCTAAATTACAAAAAATACATGCTCGCAAGTCAAACTGTGTATAAAAAAACTTGATGATACGCAATGCGTTATCGAGTGTTTAATGGAGCCTTTAAGTATTCACCCTTTCTAACTTTTCTTCTAGATATCAACCTTAATTTCCTTTCGTTTGTAAATAGGAGGGTTTCTAATCAGTTGACTATAGCTGATGTCATTTGATAATGAAAACCATAACCCTAATATGTAAACGTAATTCAAAACTACAGATTGAATCTCACTTCTTATCCTTAACTTTTAGCATGATAGCTGTTGTCAGTTGATGGTGAAAAATATATGTGGGTATAACCGTTTAGAGCACTAACTCACAGCCCTCCCTCGACTCCTTATATATGGACTTAACTTTTCGCTTTTACTGCAATAAATAATTCAAGATTATTCCTATCAAAGCTATTATCTCACTATTATTTGTTTCCTTTTAATTGTTAATTATTTCATTGCTAGTAAACTTTTACTGATTAGTTAGTAAGTCGTTTAAGGCTGCCAGTGTATCCTACTTTTATTGAATATTGTTCATCTGGATTATAAATCCCGAAATAATTTCGTGGATGACATCCAAGAATGTTCCGATTATTTAATGGCTTACGTTTTTATTAATATAGAAGTGAGTGATGGTCCATTGACGATTCCTTAACTTTAAGTTTTATCTGTAACTAATCAACTGTCATCCGATATCATATTCACGGTTATGTTACTTTTCTTGAATACTTAATTTTTGCCAGAATTGGGTTTTGTGCAGGTTGTCTAGAGGTTAAGCGTTCATATGTGAGAACGAAGGTCCTGAGTTCGAAGTCAGCGTGCAGGATCGTATATGTGTATTGGTAAGGAGTCTTATACAAGGACGAAACGGCCATCCAGTGTTTCCAGGTTTTCAATGGTAGTCTATCTTAGATAGACTCATAAATTCAACTTTATTTTTAGTTTATTTGAAATGATAGCAGGATTTGTGTTAGGGAAAATATTTTCATTTAAATTAATAATAGCTATTTTATATGGAAGTTAATAATGTCACACATTGTTAAACGGATTCAAGTTTTTTAAAAAAATATTTTGTTACCAACAGTTTAATAGGGAGTTATTTACAATGAATATAATGAATGGAATTTATCACGAAGTCAGGAGATTATACCAGTGAAAGACAAAATGAAATTTTATGAATCATAGACACTACACATATACACTGATCTTACAATTTCCAATGGTAGACAATATTTACTTGTATTTCAGACATATACACCTCTAGTGTCACATCAAAATACAAATAATAAATTGAATTAAGCAAAATAAAAATTAATTATATAAACTATACAACTTCAACTTAATAAATACGAAATAATTACCGATATAAACTAAAGTATTAGCTGTAAATGTATTAAACAGATATGATATACCAAGTATAGTTCGGTTCATAAACATCATGAAAATACTGAAGATTAATATTTTTAAAAGGAATTTGACAGATTGACATTTAACTTTATGAAATTGTTTATAATTATCATTTGTATCAGATATATTCTGAGAGATTGAATGACTTGATTTTGATATTGGTCTATGTATGATTCGAGCCATTAAAAGTGTGAAAATAAGTGCGATGATTGCAGAAACTATATCAGTTACACCACTGAAAATAATAGTAATACATTTGATTGAAAATATACTTGTTAAACAATTAAGTATAATTAAGTAGTATGATACATAATAATGGGATTATGATTTACTAACATAATTAAGAAAATTCATATAACTATATTGTATGCTCTGTAATAAGTTGAATTGCATTTTCACATTGATATTTAGTAAAGTATTTTTGTAATGAATTTATTTCACCTGAAAAATTAACGTATATATGATTTGACAATGAAATAAAACATTATACTGATTGAGTAATTGTTGAAAACTGAAACGAATATTTACACGACTATCGTGTAATCATGAGCCACTATAATATTACCCATCTACTTAACTTCCTAGTGTATTTAATGGTATTATGAGTAAAATACATATTATGCAGAGACATTAGTTAAGGTTCCATGTTCCAGAAACAAAGAAGAATATATATTTAGATTGTTTGTATATAAAAATGTTTGTCAGAATTAATCAATTATCTTTATAGAGTCTAATGCGCAACTACTTAAAACTGAAGTTCAAACCATGTACTATGGGATAATAATAAATACATATGTGTACATTGTTGAGCTATCGTTGTATACAGAACCTCATAAACTTAGAACAGAACAAACTGGATGGATTGTTTATATTATATACATAATGTAAGCCACTTCAGAGTAAAGAAGTGGCATATATTAAGTTACGAAACGTCAAAAATATAATTTTTCCTACTAATAGGCATATAACAAAAAAAATACATATTTATTATTAACTTTCTACCCAATACTCAATTTATTTGAGACTATCAAGTTTAACCTTGCATGGATTGTGTTTTGACTATCCTAAATTAAAATGCCTGAAAATATATGGCTCATAACACATCTTATCAATGGTTAATAGAGATAGTTACAAATCGCATGTTGAAAACAGTGAATCAATTTGAGTTTTATTTTTTTTAAAATTCACAATTTGATTGCATATAATAACTTACATTCTCAAAACGGTAGTTTCTCGATTATAAAAGCAGTATTACTATACACGTTTTGCATCATCAGCAACAGTTTTTCATAATGAAACGTATGATATGTTTATTTCTACAAGCACTTTTTGCATACTGTCGAAAGTATTGGTGATGAACAACCATAGAACCCTTGCACCTAAGCTCTCTGCTAATAAAACGATATAAAGACATACTGAAGAGTTTTGTGTAATTCTATAAGAATCTTCCAAATCTACAGCCAATCATATGGACAATCATCTTATATTCACGGAGTAATAAAGTAAAATTAACAGCATATTCTGGTGTATGCTACTGATGTCAGTAGATATAAGTAGTATGTACCATCAATCAAAAGTGAAATGCCTGGAGGCGAAAGGTTAAGAAGTTCAAAGAAATGAGAACGAGAACAAAGAATGATTGGTATTGGAAACAAAAGAACAATGAATTTCGAGACGATTGATTCACATTTGCACAAGGAACGGTCAAGTTTGAGATAAATGACTAATATTTTGCAAATGAAGAATTTACTCTATGGTTCTCAGATTTTACTAAGACGCTCTGTAATTTTGCATTCATAAACTTTCGATTGTCACCACTTGTGTTCCCGTTCACCATAGTGTAATTATGATCCAAAATATTATCTTCGGACATATACGATCAATTGATTCTTATATATAAATAACAAAATCTTTCAGAAGTATATTTCTTGGAATTTGAATACATAGTAATTTCTTTCTTAAACAGCAATAATGAGGTACAAACTATTGAAAATGAACTATCTTTACGTACAAATGTACACAGTGAATAGAATTTTGTAACAAAATAAAATCTCAAACTTAGGTTAATTTACTTTATAATTTATGTAATAAGATAACTTTTATGTTAAATTTATTTATGGTAATTTGTGTATATAACCATCAAGTAATCTTTGGATATCAGTCAATTAATGCTATGATTGAAGCGATTACGAGTTCACCTAGTCTGAGAACGGAACAAAGACTTTGTGATCAAAGACCAATAAACTAGTTATTCTGACGCGTCTCGGCCCCGCTGAGTAGAGAGAGAAGTTCAAGTTCAAAATGTGGAAATATATTCCGCAAGCAGCCAGAAACAGGAACAATCACAACAGGCACAAATCAAACGTTTATATACAGCATAAAATTGTCCTTAGGATGCGTTACAAAACAGCATACTAAAAGATACAACGAACCAATAGCATTTAAGATCCTTCTAAGTGGGAAATACGACATGAAAGTGAAGATGAGTGCTTTTGGCGCGAAAACGGAAAAATTCAATTTTTAAAAATCAAATTACAAAAATAAGGTATTTACCAAGTGATTTCTGGGGATCTAACATCCTCAAAAATTAATATAAAAAAATATAATACAAATTTCATGATCAAATGTTTATATGTTATAAACCATTGAAGTGTTATTCTGATTAAAGTTTTGTAGTACTTACTATTTAGACATAATGAAAACCCTTCTACTTAAAACGTAACCTCAAATTTTTTGTCATAAAATTTCCATGGTACTGTATCTAATTATTCGTTCATTTCACTAAAAACAACAACTTCAAACGTAAACTTACGAATAAATTCCAACATCCTGTGAATTCCATAAAAATGGATATCCCATCAGATAAATGTAAATAATATACAAATCCGTTGATGTAACAGTAGATAACAAAAATACAATAAATCCAGTTAGGATGTGTTGTTTATATTTTCCACTTAGGATCTAAAGTGTTTATTATTGGATATGAATTAACAAATAGAAAACAAAAAACTTTTTTACTGTATATGATATGTCATAATACAATATTCTAATGAAGTTTGTCATAAACAGTCATTATGTGGAATCTTAAATTCTTCTAACAGACTTTATCCTAATAAAATCTAAACTGTTCTCAGATTATCATTTCTTATAGACAAAACCCTATAGATTAAGTTAGCTTGACTAAAATTAAGACTTATCATAATTAGTTTTATTTAGTTAAAAACAAAACGATAGAAAACATAAAAGAGTATCATCAGGCAAGTGCACCTGTTGGATCCCGTATTGAATCAATTATTTATCCACGCTGATTATTTCTTTATTCTGAGGAGTTGAGAAGAAAAACGGTGAAACTATAATTTATGAACAACCTTTCAGCGACTCTAGATTGACCTTGAGAGTATCCACCAAATAACTAAGACCAAATGAGGGTTATACACCTGTGTGAGGAATTAGAATTATGATTTACAGTTGATGATTAAGGTTAGAAATTAGATTTAGGGTTTTCATCACAAATTGACATCAGCTATAATGCCAAAACTCCCTTCAACCAAATGGATGAATAAATTTCGCGCCAAAATTCGAGACCTGTTATCTTATATGTGATTGGTTCGTCTACCAATTACAGTTTTGTTAATAAAGCATATTGATTGACGGTCATCCTTCTACACTGAAAATAGATTAAGCATGACAAAATAGTTTGTCCAAGAGTTAAAAGTTATTTTATTTCCATGACAATATAGTTGTAAATATTAGAGTGTATTATATATTTGTGCTTTTATAAGTTCACTGTAATTACATACAAAATTGATAGTGTTATGTATTTGGTAATCAATAAATGTAAATAAACCTAGACTTTTAAATGTGCAAAATTATTTCATTCATTTCAAATTCGATCAAAAATTTTTCGTAATTTATCTTTTCTAAGATAAATAATTTAAATAAATTCGAAGATAGTGTAATGTAATTATTCTTCTAAGTATTAAATATTTCAAGTTGTATAATGACTTAATGAAAACTGTATTTTAAAAAATAAGCAAGTATGGATAGTGGATAGCAGTGGAATAGAGGATGCGCATTTCGTCCTATTTGAGACTCGTCAGCTGGATGTATCTGCGTTTCAGAATTGGTGCTCACTCCGCGACTACAACCCAGTACCTTTCACTTGAAACACCCTTATGTTATCCACTTAGCTAATAAGTCCTGATAGCTACTTGCATGTGCAATGGGGTGAAGTTTAAATTCACTTGGTGTTGTTTGCTTGGATATAAGTGGATAACACAGTGGCGTTTGAAGCGAAAAGTAATGGGTTCGAGTCCCAGAGTGAACATGAACTCTATGATGCAGGTAAATCCAGCTGAAGAGTCTTAAGTAGGATGAAATGTGCATCCTGGTTTGCACTGCTAGCTACTATCCATCTTTCTTTAGAATGCTTGTGAGTTAAGGCAATATCGAGGTAATACACACAGTATGCACATATACCAATAAGAGATTGATCAACTGTAGTTCTAAACATCAATGGGGAGGTTCAAGTAAACAATACCAAGTGTATTTTCAAAATATTATAGATATAAACTAGATGGTGTATTATTGACCATTCTCTGATAAATAGGAATGTTTTTCACACTTAGTCAAATTTACCTTTTTATTTATAAGATCCTAATGTAATATTATTAAGAAATGATAAATGGACAAGTTCAAAAGAATTTTGTCAGGTAATCAGTTTATTAACATCAACTCTAACAGAAGTTTATACAGCCGGTTGAAAGCACATTAACAAGAATTGTCCGACTGTCTTTTATTTGCGATAGTTTATAACTCAAGTAGTGGATTTATGGTCGAAATTATTATATATATATATATGTTAAAGTACTAGTTCTGTGAGGAAATGGTAACACGAATAACCAAGATGACGCCATAGCAAGATTATACTACTAGATTACGCAATACAAATAATAACAATAGACGTAATAAGTTAGTAAAGAATTATAACGTGAATGTATTAAAATAATTAAAATGTTATGATTCGATACTAAGTTATGAGGTCTATTGTTGTTATTCGTATTACGTAAGCTAGTCTTATAATCTTCTTATTTCGTCATCCTGGCTATTCGCGTTCACATTTCCTCACGGAACTACTATTTCGACAAAATAATTTCATATTTATACAATTGTACGAATTTATTAAAATTCGTTGAAAAGAGATCCCTTCTCTGAACTTTATGTTCTTAATGTTTAAGTGGGAATCATATGTCAGTAATTGTAATTGGTTGAAATTCTCTTATATACCATTACGGACCATAGATTGACATAGTCTGGAAAAACAATAAACATTATAGAGCACTAAAGAGCTTTTGTAGTCTTCATCAGGACTACTAAGTGATTCCCGTTTACAATTATATAATTAAGGCCTCAGAATTTCAGAGTGAGCGCGGTAGTTGTAGGCTTACGAGTTAGGATCTAGTGATTATTCTATTTACATCAGTCAACTATGGACATTATACAATCAACCTACAGATCTTATGTTAGATGTAATGGCGAAAGACTATGCCACATCCTTTGTTGACACACATGGTCAATCTTCCTAACAGGAGCTGTTTAGAAAAAAGACGAATAGATCATTCGGAAAGTGATGCATACAAAGTGTAATATATAAGAAATAGATGTAAACTTCAATAACCATAATAGTATTTTATGTGGTGACAGTAGTCTGTTTACGTGAGCAACAAATCACCAAAAATATAACGAGATCGAAAAAATCCGTAAAGCTTCAAATATACATTTGTACAACGTAATTGTTGTATTCCGGCTAGCGTTTTTCAACAAAGTTGTTTTCTACAGGGTGGAGTTGCTGACTCTGTGCTCAAACCTCCACTTCAACCCGATCATGGAACCGGCAGTAACTCTAGAAGACCTACAGACACGTACAGGCAAGGATTGACAAAGCCAGGACCGCGTTCCCACAGCTGAAGAGCATATGGAACCCAAAACAACTGTATGTCAACCAGTATCAAAGTTCGGATCTTCAATAAGAACTCCGGGAATTATCACAACCATCATCAAAAAGGTACAAGTATTTATAAACAGTTGTCTACTCAATATACTTAATGTCCGTTGGCCAGATACCATTAGCAACAGCCTGCTGTGCGAGAGAACAAACCAGATTCCAGGAAAAGTCGATGAAAGTGGATATGCCACGTATTGAGGAAATCATCAAACTGCATAACGAAGCGAGCTCTGATTTGTAATGGTGAAGAGAAACGAAAAAGTGGAAGATCAAAGAACACATTGAGCTGAGAATTGGAATCAGATATGAAAATGATGAAATAGTAGCTGAAGAAACTGGAAAGAATTACTTGGGACAGAGCTGAATGGAGAGTGCTGGTGAATTGCCTATGTTCCTGCACGAGGTGTAACAGCCGTAAGTAAGTAATTAGGTTAATAATCAAACTTTCATTCCATTTTTCACAAACGCTATAATTCTAATATTGTTCTGATTTCCTTAAACACAATAACTCACTAATTAATCAAGTAATATATTATCTTCTAAATTGCAAAAGTTTAAAACGAGTAAAATAAATGATCATCAAGTTATTTATGACAATATTGATTTACCTACCTTGAAACTGTTTTGAATATTTTGACAATTCACTTCCCAAAATGATAAATTCCTGCTGCGTACAAAAACAATCTCTATATTGTTACTCTCGTTTTTACAATCTTGATCATTATTTAAAGTGTCTATATTTAAACATTTCGGACGAAATACGATGTTCGATTCAGGTAGAAAAAATATTATCAATAAACTAATCCCAACCAAAATGTTACAGATGATAACTGGTAGTTGAAAACCGCCTCGATAAAGAAGGGTACCTAAAAGAATTAAATATTGTATTGTTGATTCGATTTGAAATGTTTTATTTTTTTAAGATGTTTGGGAAAAAAATACTGGATCAGTAACAATATACTGTTAATTTTGTTTACATTTTTTTCAAATCCACACTTACGTTTGAAGAATAACTAAGTCTTTATATATTCAAATAACTGAGCAATGTATAATTAATAAGCTGAGTATCAAGACGAAAACTATAGTTGAGTCCAGTCTTAAGCATACTTTGGTATTTGTTTCACCCTAATATATACTTTTAGTCAAAGTATATTATATTCAAGCTGATCAAGCAAACAAAAAGATCTCAAGATATTGTTCTTGGAGAGATACAATATTTCATTTCCATTTGGAGCAGATTAAAATAGAATACATCTACAGTGAGTAATATATCACTACACTCGTGATCAGAGTATGTATTTTACCGTTCACATTAACTCATTAATGATTATTTTACTAACCGTCTTAAAAATACATAGATAAATCAAACAAATTAATTATTGGATATCGTCATACTACCGTGGTGTGTGCTATTGATGTCGATAGATATAATTAATATGTATTATCAATCAAAAGTGAAATATCTCGAGGCAGAAGCTTAAGAAGATCGGAGAAAAGGGAACGAGAACAGAAAGTGATTGATGTGGAACAGAAGAATCAGTCAAGTCTGAGACGATTGATTGACATTTCGCAAATAAAGTATTTACTATATCGTTCTCAGATCTTAATAAAAGATTCTGTAATTTTGTGTTCGAATACATTGATTGTCCCTACTTGTTCTCTCGTTCATTACACTATCATCATATTATCTTAAAATGTATTTGAAATTACAAAGAATATCAAAAAGACATTTTCAGTTCATGTGAATATGATTTTGTATAACACTCGTAAAAAAATTGTATAACCAAATAGTTTCTAAAATTTTATTATTATTATATTTCCTATACCAAATTTGTGAATACAACTGATTTGCTCACCTCCTATAGGATTTGAAAGTGATAAACTTATTAAAGCAAGTCCATCGAACCAAGTGAATAAAGTCCATAAATTATTTTGATTAGTTAATTGACTATTTGTTACATCATTATTATCTATTGATTCTTTACACACTAAATCCGTTAATGATGCTGAAACTTGTGCTTGAATCGATAACAAACCACCTCCTATAAATCCATCGAATAAACCAGGGATAATTGTTAACCATGGATTAACTTGGAGTAGAACAACCACACCTATTAATCGATAATATGTATATAAATTAATAAAATGATAAAATACACTTTTACTCAACGAAGTCTATGTAAAATCATTTCTTTGTAGACAAGTAGTATATATAGATATGTAGTAGAAGTTTAGTGATACTTGGGTATGTCTATGAATTTTGTGTGACACCACTTAACGTTATTAAATATGTGATATTTCTTTATCAGAAATGATATTGTAGTAAGCTATTAAATAAAAACCAAATAGCTAATAATACAGTTTATCTTTCAGAAATGTTAGTAATCTATGGTAAAGTCAATATTATTTCACAATTTACATCAAGCATAGATTTGTGTTCGACAGACAATAGTAACTGTGAGACAGCAAACGTCTGATTTATTTTAGTATGAGACTCTTAAACAGTATGACGCAACCACATAGAAACAGATCCAAGACCTTTGGCTTTACACGCAAACGCTTAGCACTTAGACCAGCAAGGTGCGAGCCGATGATTTGTATACTTAACTTTAATCAACTTTCAATATCCCATAACCATCTTCCATTATACTCTTTGATTGACTGAATCACACTTGACATAACTAAACTCCACTAGTCATTACGTTTCACTAAAACTCAGTTTTATTTGTTTGAATGAACGTTTTAGAACGGACTTGCCGAATAAAAAAATATTTCATTTTGTCAATAGAAAGCGTAAAGTGACTAGTGAGGAAACATTCAGATGACGATTTCTTTCTGGAATTCAATTTTAGAAGTTCATCCATTCAAAGCATCAAAATGATGTTACGTAATATTTTGACAGACAAAAGCCAAAGTCAGTGAGCTTATGTTCATTTTTCTCAATGGACAGTTTATTGTTTAGTCAAGCCGTTTGGTTACATCTTACACAAGGCTATGGAATGCTTTGATAAAAACACCTACTCAGTGTGATTATTTGTAATGCTTCTCCGATGATCATGATACCTAATGACAAACGACGGCCAAAATGGTCAGATATGTAACCAATTATCATTGTTGTCAATAAACCAAATAATAATCTCACTGAATGATTGCATGCACCAATCCAAGCAGCTCTACGTTGCCCTTCCTTAAGTAAAAGTTTATCTGATTCATTGCTGAAATAGAAAAACAGTGAGGAAATCGAAGTTTATTGCTGTATTCACCACCACTCCAATATTTACTGAAATAATAGCAAAAACGTTTCAACCACAAAGAAAGGCATGGGTATACTAATTAGTAATATAAATAAAAGATACAAATCATTACCGTGAATATTTATATTTTCAGTTAGATATTCTAATCAGTTTGCCGTGTATATCAAAATAACATGTCTAAAAAAGACTAATAAATCAAACATTTTGCATAGATATACAATATATGTCACAAATGTGATCCCGTGAATCATTGGGCTGAAATCGTATAAATAAATTATTTCTAGTTGAAAGTTATTGTGTTTTTTCTATCATTATCTAAACGAAGATATTTACAACATGCAGACTCAAGTCTAGTCTTATTTGTTAAAAACGTCGGTAAACTTTGATTTTTTCAAAGAACTCAAATAATGCAGCTCACCTTGCGATCAATTCAAATTTTCCATCCTTTACGTCATAAGATAAACCTTCGTCTATCGCGCATCTAAATATTAATAGAAATAAATGCTTTATCTTTATATTTTAATTGTGTTTCTTATTGAAAATTTTATAATATGGAATATATTTTAGTGAGGTATATGCCGATAAATCTAGTTTGTATATCAGCATGTCTGTAGAAATGTTTTGACGGTACTGTCATTTACATATTCAAGGAGAATCCAATTATTCCATTCATTTTTAAAGCTCTAAATTTATAGACACGTTAAGAAAATAGGACTTACAAAACAAAATGGACTAACATAAGGCTTCAAGCCTTTTGCTCTTTTAAACTGAAACTGATATTATACATCGAGACTTTCCGTCGAAAAATTATTTTAAATAAATGATTTGTTTAGTAGGTTAAACGAAGTTTAGGACATCAGAAATTAACGGATTATCAAATGAAATTCTGTAGGTTAAGTTCGACATCTATTAGACATCATTGTGAATTTAATGGATCGTCAGAAGCGACAATTAACAAAATGAGTAGAACAGGAGCGATAATAAGACTACGAAAATTCAAACATGAGAGAAACAGAACTAAATTATCGTTTAAAATTGGAGAATAAAAGTTAAGAGTGACGTTTGTCACAGTATTCAGAGTATATTATAGTCAAATTGTTTATTCTGCTAGCCAAAATATAAAACTTAATAAGTACCACATAATTTGTTTAATACATAAGTATTCCATAAATTTGCAATATCTGACAGTGTAGGGTTGGTCGGAAATATAAATATATCTATACAATAAATCAAAGATATGAAACGTTGAGGTAATGAGAAATTGATTATTAATAATAATTGATAGTAGTTAAAAATTAAATCCAGTAGATCGTTTCTGTCATCCCTTAAACAAACTAAGAACATAATCGCTTTTTCAACATCTTGTTAAACTGGTATTATGGTTTATTTTATTCATTATATGTTGGAGTAACTGATGTATTTTGGCTATGCAACACTTCTGTGAGATGAAAATTACACTAGTAGGTAGAAAGACGAAGGAAGTATATACTTTTCAATAAGTTACCACCAGGTTCTGTTATTCTAAATCCAAACTAATGCTCCAAAACAAAGATAGCCAGACATAAGGCAAACAGGTAATTTAGACAATCATATACGTATTTGTGTTTTCGGTATAAGATCATTGAAATGAATGGTTTGAATATGATGAATACAATTTAGAAAACTAAATAATATTGTAAGATTACATCCAATTAATCTCTAGACAATGTTCTAAAATGGCACATGCACCTTAATAAATAAATTATGTATCTGACTTAAAATTGTTTTCCAGTCAGTTAGTCACTCAGTAAGCTACAACGTAGGACCAGGCACATATGTGCATTGATCCAAGTTGCCAGTGTAGAAATTAAGAAAAAAAACAAGGATTAACAAAATAATCGTAACTTCAAATGTTTCGTCTATTATTTAATTTGATATGGAAGCGCATTTATCAAATGCTATCTTCAATGCAAACGATATTTTTTATTCGTTAAATGAACTTCGAAAATACTAGTAAACAAATTAATCCCATTAGCTGAAATCATGAGTCAATTGAAGCTAGATCACCGTGGAAAACCTGGAATCACTGGACGACCGTTTCCTTACAGTATGGGACTCCTCAGCAGTGTGTATCCACGATCCCACCCCCGCGAGGTTCGAACCCAAGACCTGATGGTCTCGCGCGCGAGCGCTTAACCATTAGACCAGTGAGCCGTCATCCAACGGTGTTAATGTTCAAATTCCACCAATCCAACCATTAAAAATAAATAACCTAATTGACTTACCTGTAAAATACATACTGATATATATATACTGATATATACAAAGGAATAAGTAACATGGCTAATAATATTAGAAATTTATTTCTTAAATTCCAAATACTATCACATTTCAGCATGTTGATAGAAAAAGAATTGGGAAATGTTGTACAATGGTGTTACTTTGCTTGTTTTTTTTCTCGTACAAATAATATGTGAAGTAGTGACAATGTTTGAATGGAATAATAAAAGGTTTTCTCACTTTCTAGTTTGTTTGTTGTCTATTAAATATTGTATTTATGTAAACAACGTAATTTGAAGCCTGGATGTTCTTAATGATAAGTAACAATGCATAAATATAGGTATATACATATATATTTCACAAACATGATAGTTCACGTGAGTTTATTCATATGAATTCAATAATTCATGTTGTAAGATTCAATAAACCAGTATTTTTCGTCCGTTAGTAATACAATAAGTAAATGAGCGGTGAATCTTAGTAGTTTTGTAAGTGTCTGTATAATAAATGTGATTTTTATACTAGAATTATACGAATTTTCAGACTACGTTTATGGTAATAAACAAAAGCGCTAATCTTTCCGGGTTTTTTTTTAAAACAAAAACAGATGCAATTGGATCATGTGAAGGTAAAATGTGAACTATAAGGAATCAAATGATTCATTTATTTCATGATAGATATCATAATGAACATATACCGAGCAAATTTAATGAAACTTATTGAATATAAATCACCTTGAAAGGTTGTAAAGTGTCAATCTGATGGGTTGTACCGAATAGGTGTCTTGAAACAGAGCCTAGTAAAGTTTTTATTCTATTTGAAATAAATCCTATATAGGCTGACTCAGATCCTTTTTTCTATTCTCTCAAAATAACTTCTTTTACAGGTACATGTAAGCCTATATACAGTTGGAGATAACATGAACGGGAAATCTAATGATCATAATTTGCTTTGACAAACATATTTTGTACTCGACGATTAGTTTGGATCTAGAACATGTCTTGATTAATGTAGTTTTTAGTCTTCAGCTGATTTATGATTCAACACTATTGACTTCAAATTATAGTACGGTAGTTTCTTTAGGCTCTTTTCATCAGTTCTCCTGTATTTAACAGGAAATTTTTATGGTTACATGTTGTTCTGTAGACACTTTTTAGATTTTCACCTCTTACTTTCATAGTTTATTGACGTCACAAATTCTTTCTGTTTTATAGAATGATATTTTAATTAGTAACTTATCTTAATGTACAAAAGCTGGTAAGATTTAGATAAGTTCTACTCCATATATATTTACGATATATTGAGCGTTAAGTTATTTAATCCTCCATATTTCGCACCAGGATTTCAAAAAAGCAGGATTTATCACTATTTTTTTTATGGTAAACTGTATATGAGCCATAATGAAAATCTTTAGCATGTGTTTTGAATATTTCTGAATATTAGATATGATAATTACGTTGCCAAGATACCTCAAATAATATGCCGTTTCATCTGTTGCTCCTTTGAACTTGGTCTTCAAAAGATTAGCTATGAAAAAAATACTTACTAGAACAAGATCTAAAGGACTTATCGTTGCTGCACCATCAGTTTGACGATTTTTGATAACTGTCAAACTGATACTGAACATCATTCATATACATAATTATTGACAGTTGTTTGAAATATAATATTGGTAGACATGAGATTTCGGAATACAGAAAGATCTTGATTATGGATTAAATATATAATACTTTATAAAACAAGAGTTTTACGTCAAAAGAAATCATGAAATTATCATAGATGTTGATATGATTTGGTCAGTCTGAAACTGGGATAAATCTTTTAATTTATGTGCAGCTAATCATTGACGAACTGGTTATAGCTTTCCCGTTAGTTAGCATGCAAGTTAGTGAAAAGTCGAGCTGATTATTGACAAAATAAATCTAATTGTAACAATTTGCTTATGCATCTACTATAGATCCAACAGGTAACGTGAACGAGACCTTTAAAGTGTTAGTTCATCATAAGTAGTGTTAGTTATGTTCATAACTAACCAATCAGATCGTTACTTAAGCCCCCACCATGTTAATCTGGTCTGATGTGTCTGTGAACTATCCCTATTGCATGTGACTTACCAATTGAAAGACATCATTATCCTATTAAATTAGTGTGACTCATAATTTTTATTCATTTCGATAAGACACGTAATGTTGGTCGGTGTGTTTATTCGTTTCGCCCAATGACTGTAATTCCTCTAATTACTGTACTGACCTAATCGTTTTTACGTTCAGAAACAAATAATATTTAAAGTCAAGTTGTCCTTGCTCTGACCATAGTTTTCACATAGACTCTGTAATCGCCAAAATGGCGTTTACAGTTCTAGTAGTATATTTGTAGGACAAATTAAATCCTACAAAGTTTCAACCAGTTAATTCGATATACCTACTGAAATGGCTGCCAATAAGTACTATGATTCCGATGAGATTCCAGAATTATCACCCCACCATCTGGGAGTTCATGATGAAGGCCAACTTGAAAAAGACGAACCCAAAACCAATGGCATGATAGAACTAGAGTTAGCTAGGTTACGTGTAACTCAGAAGAAATTGAACTAGGAAAGTTACGCCGCCAGAGAAGTGAAGGTTTCAAGATTCGAATCAGTGAAACCTCTGTAACATTTGTAAATCTTATATCTTAATTGGTAGTTTAAGATTTTTTTACATAGGTTCGAAAATTTGTCAAATTACCAAGGAGAACAGTATAACTTAAGATTTTAATCATAAAATTTATATTTAGTCGTTTTTAGAATTTTCTTCTGTGTACTACCACCAAGTAAGCGAAATAAATAACTTCAGGTAGGGAGAGGTAGTGTAAAAAAAATATGTTACTTAACGGAAAAAAAAATGGTAAACTGAATGATGAAACTTGGTATTACTGAACGAAAATAACTAGAGATGTTTAAATTACTAGTCATGACTGTAGGTAGAACTTTCCTGTTAATTTTATTATTAGAATAAGAAGTAAATATTTTCATAAACTTAGATTGTTGAACAGAAGCAACATATTGTAACCGCCTTGAAATAACAGTCAACATGTATTTTTTGTTATTATATGAATGTATTAAAAAAGATTCCCTATTTTTATTTATTTTTAATTGATGTGTTGTATTAATTAACTATAATTATAACTCAATCAATTTATCCTTTACAAGTCATTCTAACATGAATTATTATTGAAGTATAGTATATGTAAAGTTGTTTTTGATTCATTCAAATAGCATTTTATATGACACTTTCCTTTGTCTTATGTAGATACTGTTAATTACTACTTTTGAGAATGAATTTATTATCAGAATGGAGGTTTGTGGAGATTGTAGTAAATTTACTAGTTGAATTCTATATTTTCAATGTTGGTCTAGCTTAGATCAACTCGTGAATTCAACTATTAAAATAAATTTATTGTTGAAGACACAAATATGTCAGAAGGGGTTTTGTGGATATTATAGTAATTTCAATGGTTGAGATCATGAATCAGTTGAAGCTGGACCACCACGGAAAACCTGGAAGCACTGAACAGCCGTCTCGTCCTATTGTGGGATAGTGGATGCGCACTGTTGAGGAGTCCCACAATAGGACGAAACGGTTGTTCAGTGCTTCCAGGTTTTCCATGGTGGTCTAGCTTCAACTGACTCATGATCTCAACACAAATATATTTTTAGTCTAAAATATCAACTTGCCTCGCATAATTTAATGAGATAATTTTCGATATGATTATTGTTGTAATTTGAATAAGCTTTATTTTTATGGTATAAACATGAATCGTCTTGATGATTCAGACAAATAGTTATTTTCGTATATGGTGGACTTAGAAATTAGTGTTCATTTTAAATTTGATGTTGACTTGATGATAGTAGTATTGTAGTGTAAGCTACTTATGTTTGCAGATATAAGTAGTATGCAACAGCAGTCGAAAATGCAATGTATGGTGGCAGAAGGTTGTTAATATTGAAATGTAGAGAAAAGAGAACGAAACTAAAATCAATCAAGATAACAACAAGACTGGAGGAGCAATGAAGCTTGATTGATGTATTTGATGTACAATTTTCACACTTTACTAAACCACGGTGCGACTGAGGATTATCTCCGAGTGTTCGTTCACTATAGTATTGGTTGGTTATTCTTAATAAATAAATGGTATTAAAAAATAACCATACATAATGCAACTTTCATGGATTTCAAATGTAATTCGGGGTCTTTAACTTTGGTAATAATTCACTACAAATTCTCTTACTTGTAGGTCGGTGCTATTTATGTATCATCAAAAACTTGTTCACATCCAACTATAGTAAAAAGTAGATGAGATTGATGTGATCACTACAAAAACCATCAAATAATAGATTAAAAACGGTTAGGTATAATTTTTTATTCAGCTACTCACTGTATATTTATCAGCGACTGATAACCAAGTGAAAACCTGTGCATTCAAAAGTCAGACTGTGATTATGGCGGTTAAAGAAAACTTTTATGCTAGAAATGTGAATGTAGTTTACTTAGTTAATTTTATTTATCTAGTCATCGGTATATCAATACCATAAAGGCTTTCGTCGATAAACTGTATAAAGACGTTATTTATATACACTTGTTAATTTGTAAAAAGTGTCTTAGAAGTGTAAACTGGAAAAACGAATATTTTAAATAACTGTTTCGTAATCTGCCAAAAAATGTAATTAAGTTACTGGGACTCAACTGAGATAACAAAACAAGTCGGGTTCAGTTATATCAAAACTGAAGCAGTTATCCATCAGTGGCAAAGAACAACCTTATACTATATTGTAAATTGATTGAAGTGAGAAATAAAACTACTAGAATTCCAGTTATTCCTTTAAAGACAGTGTTCTAGGAATAGCCTTAATATAAATCTTGACAACACAGTGGATAAAGTTAAACCAAATGTACTATACTACTCAGTTTCTTACGAATGGTTCAAATAAAAATGATCGTTCAAGAAATTAACTGTAATCATATCTTATAGTTGAAGTTATGTCTGTTAAACTCATTTGATTGGTAAAGGTATGGTGTGTGCTACTGATGTCGATAGACATAAGTAGTATGTCTCATCGACCTAAAGTGAAATACCTGGAGACAGGTCAAGAAAACCAAACAGAAGAGAACGCGAACAGAGAATGATTGGTATGGGAATGAAGGAACAATGAAGTCTGAAACGATTCACTGATATTTTGTATACGAAGTATTTACCATACATTCGATTGTCCTCACTTATGTTCTCGTTTACTACAAACGTAATATATTTACAAGACAAAACAATTACAGTTTATTCAAATGTCATTGAGTTTTCTTCCCTAAGCTCTGATATTATTATCCAGGACGTTAATGAAAGTTTCTCACTTAAATCATCTCTTCTTAAAAATAAAAACAGAAATTTAACGAAATCAAAATATGTCCACTTGATATGCAAATCTCTATCGTTACGAGCTATTCACTTCCATAAAATAAAATATCATTCTAAATAACCATTCTTTTATTTATAATATAAAAATCTAAATAAAAATCAATAAAATTGAACAAAACATCTATGAGGAATGCATTTCCTTTTAGAAAAAAAGTACTTCTTGTTTACATTCTAGTACAGAAAAACAGCAACAACGAAAAAGAAAGAGAAAACACTATTGCAAAATTTTACAAATTGTCTCGATATTGTTACAAAATCCAAATTATTAGTTTATTTCAATGGTTAAGATCATGAGTCAGTTGAAGCTAGACCACCATGGAAAACCTGGAAGCACCGGACAGTCGTTTCGTCCTATTATGCTTGCCGTTCAGTGATTCCAGGTTTTCCGTGGTGGTCCAGCTTCAACTGACTCATGATCTTAACCATTGAACTTACTTCAATATCCACAAAACCCATCTGATATTAGTTTATTTATTAGAAAGATAAAGAGAAGAAATTTATTTCCCAAAATTTAAAATTACAATTCATTATTTGAATCCAAATGACTTTCTTTTTGTTAAAGAAAAAAATGCTTTAGATTGTTTAAATAAAAATTCAATTTAGTAAGATCATTTCTTTTTGTATTCTTGTTAAACGTATTGGTAACAACCTATCATAGAAGAAAGAAAAGAAAAAACGAATAAAAAGAAAAATATATATAATGCCATCTATTGATCAGTATCTTTTTTTTCTTTAGAAAGTGTGACTTTTTAAATTCACTTGGTATTGTTTGGCTTGTATCTTCGCACTGAGGTTTAAGACTGCAATTGATCAGTTTGTTATTGGCATATGTGCATATTGTGCGTATGCCTCGATATTGCCTTAATTCACAAGCTTTTTGTAGGCTATGAGTCCCAGATTGAACATCAACTCTGAGATGCAGGTATATCCAGCTGACAAGTCCCAAATAGGACAAAACGCGCGTCCTGGATTCCACTGCTAGCCACTATCCATCAGTGCTTACAAAAAGTGTAACTTTTTGTTGTTGTTAAAATTAATTTATTTATAAATTTAGATCAATCACCTTACTCATTTACTAGTATTACATATGTGATGTTATATTTAATATATATATAGATCATGATAAATATGAATCCAAAATGTTCAAATCATGTTATTTTGGTACTTAAGTTCTTATTTACAGTGTATTGTTATATTTGGATGAAGAATAATGAATGACAACTGTTAGGATCTATGTATGGACTGTTATTACATATATTGTTATGGTATAATTGTTAAGTAACTAGATTATATGTGTATTCATATTCCTTTTATTATAAGCTTCGGTTTGACTTATTAACTACTATTATACGTTTTACTATTATTATGATATTCCTAATTTATTAGTAATAGTCTATCGCAGTCACAGCTAGTACAGGTTTACGCGTTATTAATCTGGTCGTATAAGTCGGTGTCTCTAATTAACGATATTATCTCGTGATATATTAACAGGCCACAAACCATGACATGCATAAAAATAATTGGAAGCTTGATTTATGTTTATGAGGCGATACTTTTACTTTTTAAATCAACTAAGGTGCTAGAACGTATTATTATCTGCTCTAATGAAGCAGACGTCATAGACATTAACAATAATGATACTGATTGGGCTTTCCAAGCAATTTGATTTTTGGAAACACTAGTCAAGTCAGTTTTCTTCTCAGATTTCGGCCTACAGAACACATTTATTCATTGTCTCACTATCCCCAGCTAATAGTCAAGCTGAGAGTGTTGACAATACTTGCAAGCGAGCTCTCATCAAGTTTATAAAAGAGAGAATACAACAAAAAAAATCATCCATAATTTCCTGAGACTATACAGAGTAACCCCTAATCTAGCCTTACTTGAGAGTGTCTTCCCAGCTGAATCAGTATTTGGAAGGAGAATTATGATTTTGTTCGGCGACATTTATCCACAAAGCAAAAACCGAGATTGTCAATCCAAGGTGAGGAGAATTAAACATCAGTTTCTTAGGTTACCAGTGTATGTAAGAAACTTTCGATAATGGCAGCCTGCGTGGGTAGCATGTGTCATCGTAAGAAGAGTCAGTGATGTGATATATAAAATCGATGTTTGAGGGAAATGCCTGACGCAGCATGTTAAACATTACGGCAATCTAATTCGAATAAAGAACTTCCTAGCTCAAGTAACAGTTTGATTGAACGTTCACAGAACTTTCACATTTCAGTGATAGAATAAGATTCATTACGTTTGTGAATGAAAAAACATGCTATACAGTATTAAGGTATCTTTCACACATATTAATATTTGCTATTAGTAAAAATAGTGCTGAAATTTATCTTTAATTACATGCTTCAATTCGAAATATCACGAATGTGAACATTGCTTATCAATTTATGATTTTATGCTTGCTTGACGAACTAAACAAATTATTACCTTGTCATAAAACCGATATAAATTCAATTTCTAAAAGATTCCATCAATTATGTTCTTTAGAATTCATATGTACTCATACATATGACTGAAGTATTCATGGAGTTGTGGTGTCGGTTACTATGTTGAGCATAAGTAACTTATTCCAGCTTCTCGACAGGCCAATCTATTCTTTTTTTTGAGTCACGTTTTGACCTTGTTAATTATTCACTTATCAACCTTGACTGTTTTTATATGAGCATGTGTGTACATCTTATCCTACTCATCCATATCTGTAGCTTATTTTTGTATGACTATAAATAAATATTGATTAACGCTCGATTAAATTGAGTTGGTTCACATGACTTTTCCACCGAGCATCATTTCAATTTTCCCTCTTCTCTTCGTTTCCTTAGCTACGTCCCTCCGATTGTCTGTCCAGATCAATGAGTGTACAAATATACGTATTCAAAATCCATTCTCGTAATTGACTTATTTAATTCCGTTACACACTAACACGAGTGAACTCGATAATTATATAAAAGGATTAGCGATATGTTTATCTCAATAGCAATCAGCAACAATTCAAATGCAGTCAGATATAGGGCCACAAAAAAGTAATCGAAAAAGAAAAATATTTCCACATTATTAGGATTTTTATTATCTTATAGTTTAACATGATTCTGTATCAATTATTTTATAAAATAGTTCAGAATATTTCGGGTTGTTAATGTAGTAAATAATAATGTATGCAGATCTTCGTAGGTTATTTAATGGTATGAAAGCCTATCAGGACTTTTTATTGTTATAAGATGATTATTGTTCTATTAATGAAGTAGTAAAACTTACTATGTGTGTATCTTGTAATATACTACTTATAGTAATCTTGAATATAACAGTAATTTAAGATGACCTTGATTCTGTGAAATTAATGTATTCAATGAAAAATCCATAGAGAGAATTTTGCAAATACTTTAAACCAGATATTTTTAACCAATTTTAGCAAATGCTGTAAATGGTGTGAAGAAATTGGTGCACGGTTTTACTCACCGTAGATGTTCAAGGTTAATATTCATAGGTGGAAGGAACAACAGTTCACTAAGCACTGAATGCATTAATTGTGTACAGTAAATATTAACATTACAAGGTAAATGAAACTGAGAAATTATACCTAACTTACACTCCGAAACCGATAGTAATCGATATGAGTAAGCCGCACATAAAGAAAACAGCACCAGGAAAAGCGTGTACAGTTCCGGCATAAATAAGTGGGAAGACTGTTAGATTGATCAGAAATCCCACAAGCGAAATAAATGTTCCAAGAGATAGCATGAAACCTTTTAATAAATTGAATAAAAATCCAACAAAAATTACGCTTAACTTTACAATACCAATTTGTTTTGCAAAGTAGAAAATTGAGGGAAAATAAACAAAACTAGGACTACCTGATATTTTTCACTGAAGTTTTGTGGTTTTAAATACATCAATATAGCCTCAGTGGTCTTGAATGCTGTTAGAAGTATGAGAGCGGTTATCAATTCCCGGTTGCTCACACCGTGGATGGGTTCTTCTAGAGGTACCTGAGAAGGGAATTGGATTAAGGGTGGTCTTAGTGACTTGAGAGTGTGACCCCAATGCACAAAGGACAACTGCTTGAAGTCGGTCACACACAACCTTTTTGTGAGTAGTTCTCGTGTTAGCTCCGTACTTGTTGAGACCTTACCACTGGAGATGGATATCCGTGTGCTAAGGCGACGTGTGCATTTTTAGGGTTGACCTTTCCTAACCTCACCCCTGCTTGTGAGAAGGCTGCATCGCTGTTATGCTGGTTGTCTGTAGGAAACACCGTACTACCTTCACACCTGTACAATCAGCAGTATGACTTCGTCCTCGGACCATGGGTTTGCTGCTTTTAGACTTATCGCTCTTCAACCGACCTGCATGGTATAGTGGCACCTTGAGTAATGGTTATTAAAGCCAGTATAGCTCGATTGGTTCATCACGATAGGCAAGCCCGATCATCACATCAAGGTAGGAACAACAGTCGGGACAATAAAGCCTACTGGAAAATAGAATGTTAAATAGTAGTCTTCGGAAAACTTAGGCGTTGAGTAAATCTTAGATCATCAACTAACGACCCAGTGCATTTTTGTTATGCCAGTGTCAAACTGAAACTGGTCGTATCATTTCTCTTAATTTATAAAATGATAATAAAAGTTTGCATCACCACGACGTGGTTGGATTCCGTCAGTTTCAACTTCTCGATAGAACTTGGGAAATTCCTTGATAAGAGTAGGATAGGCTGAAGTTAGAAATTGGACCATCGCATTCTAACATGGTGGTTTAATAGTTAAATACTCTATTCCTAGTATTGTAATTTTTTGACTGTAGCAGAGTTCCATATCAGCAACAAATTGTTTGGAAATTACTGGTTTTCTATTTAATGCTAATCCATGACTAACATCACTCATAAAACAAAGTCTCCTACACAAAAATCTCCAATTTAATGAGAATTGAGCATGATAATATTATGAAGTTTCTACATCCTTTGTTTTTTTTTTGGTAATGTATGCGTTTTATATATGACCAACTATATTTCAAATTTAAACAGTAAAGACGAAATAACACTTCATTTTACAATTGACCTACTGTCAGTGGTTCACGGTCTACTGAAACCGAGACAAAACGTTCAATTCATTAGATGTACTGCTATCTTATCAAAAAGCATGTTTAGAAATATAAATAAAATCAGTCAATAATAAGAAATTTTGTAGTCAATTGAATTTAACTTCCTATCACGCTACGGAGAAAAAAAACAACCGCTCAGAAAACACTTATCAAATTTAGAATCCTTTTGGTATATTTGTGGATTTATATTAGTACGACCCCGTAATTTCGCATTATAAAAAAATACTAAAAGCTTTATAGACGAGTAAAATTTCTCCAAAACAACAAAATAGGTTGAGAAAACTTGGTTAAGTTACCACCAACAATGTTGAATCATCACAATACTAGTTACAATTTGTTCAGATTTCTTCGGTTATATCATTGTTTAACCATACAAAGTGCGTTTTATTGTTTAACTGTGTATTTCTCTTACAGTTCTGATATCTTTTATATGCCGAGCAATCACTCAATCGACCGGAGTGGAAATGTCTAGGAGTAACAGAGTCAGCTATGAAATCAGACTGGAAGTTCAATCAGAAGTGTCATTTTCACTCTACATTTGTTTGTTGTATACCACATGATATCTTGCCCAAAAATGCTATGGTACGGCCGAAAATGGGGAGAGTTCTTTGACCGTCTTGTAGCCCTCTCATATGGCAACGCGTATAAAGCCACTGTTAGGGAAGTCCTATTCATTGCGTCCTCGCGGCAGAAGGTTTCATATACGAAATTGAGAGGACAAGAAGCAAATTTCCGGTGCTTAGACTGAGTTTTTAAATTTGATGACCCCCCCCTCCAGAATTGGAAAACTCTTATTCAAAACCAATGGTACGCATGGGCTTCAGGATCCTGACGGAATAAATAGCGTATGGACTTATTATAGGTAATCGACTGCCATACGACCGCATCTGCTAAAGTTGCTCCACTCCTTTGTGGATTAGACCTCAGGGTCAAAGCTCGGGGAGTAGCATTTTAAGCAAACCACTTGTTTTAGTTTGGGCACCCAGGTAGTATACCAGCCTACAAACAAATTGGATGGTAACTACTTTATACAGCGCATGTATATTTTAATCCTTCTTTGTATCAACGTTTATATGCTTAAATAAATAAGTAAATCGATAAATAAATACGATATCTTAGCCATGGACACTTTTTAACGTATATTCCATTCCTAAATCTACTTAATTAATACGCTCACTTAAAAATTTTCACTAGTGACATACACGTTCGGTTTGGTATAAAATCGTAACCTTTTATTATCCCTTGATGATCATCAACAAAATAAATTCGTTATCTTTTAAAAAATACATATGTTTTGATAAATAGTATACAAATTTACATTTAGAATAAACAGCAGTCTTGAATCATTTCACAAAGTAAAGTACTCTTTCACCCTATAAAATAATGTATTGACCTCCAATCTATTAATTGTACTAACAATCAACGGTAATCATGATTCATTTTAAAATAATGTTTTTAGTAACTGGAAAGATTGTACTAGATATAGCTCAGAAACAACGGATTTCTACATATTCATATCTCATTTGATTATTTAATCTTCCATAAATTTCATGGTAACAGACTGTTTTTTCTGACACAACACAACTATTTATTAAAGTTAAACACTAACTGGTCGAAATAAATTTCAAATGAGATAACCTAACTTAGTCATCCCAGAAATTCCAAAATATTATTGTGCATGGCTTTAAAACTGAAATAACAAATATTAAGCAAAGATGAATTGTAGCTAGCAGTAGAATCCAGGATGCACGTTTCGTCATATTTTGAGACGCCAGTTGATGCTCACTCCAGGACTCGGGCGTAGTACTGTTCGCTTCAAATGCCATCGTGTTGTCTACTTAGCTACTGAGTCCAGATAACCATTAGATTGTGCATTGTCGTGAAACTTGATTCATTTATGCTTATAATACCTGTTACTTAAAATAATATCGAGTCAATCCACACAGAATGAACATATTCCAATAAGAAACTGATCAACTGAGGTCCTAAACATTAAACAAACAATATATAAATGAACTGAAATCACAAATGTTTAATAAAACAAAATATATTTGATTACTATAACAATTTCCCTTAAAATCGTCTACAATCATTACTAACATACCTTGTTTATCATTTGGTGTTATTATCGAGATCATAGTTCGAATTGGTGCAACAAGTGTATTTTTCACCAATCTTACAGCTGATGCTTATGGAAAAATGAAAGAAAATCAATAGTTCTTATTTAATGCTAGAGTTGAGGATTTTATAACACATTTATTCAACAAATATGTCCACCTTTAGTTAGTTTTAAATAATGAAATATTTTCCGGAAATATTAAAATATTAAACTCTACAGTTATTGATCGACTAGTCTAAACCCTTCACTACCTACATTGTTGCGGTAATACAAATTAAATCACCAACCATCACATGACTTAAATATGAATATATACGCGTATATTTTGAAAAATGTATCATGCAAATTAAAAATAATTGGACTTTCAGCATCTTTTGATGCAATACCCATAATCCTCCATTTCAAAACTAAATCATCAGTAAGACTATAATTTATGGACGACCTTTGAGCGACATCAAAGTGATCTTGAGTGTCCGCCTACTTTCTAGGGCTAAGTGAGTGTTATAAAACAGTCTAGAAAGTAAGGATTATGATTCAGTTGATGGTTAGGGTTAGGAATTAGATCTACGTTTTTTCATCACGAACTGACATCAGCTAAAATGTCAAGATGCTGTTTGGCCACATGGGTGGGTGAATTGCGCGCCTAAATCCAAGACCTGTTATCCTATATCTGATTGGGCCATCCATAAATTATAGTCTCGCCAAATCTTCTACCATGTTAGAATAGCAGAAACCAAAATATTCCTCTAAACAAATATTATTTTGTATATCATGTAAATTAATGTTGTCTAATCATTACTAAGAATTACACTATTCAGTCTGATAGCAAACTATAATATCAGTTTGCCCAAAAATATTTTGAGAATCCTTACCAAAGCCTTAATGACATAGCTGAATTATTTATCTTACCTCCATAAACAATGTAATTAGCAGTAGGTAAAGTGAATAAGAATGCAATACCCATCAATATTCTGTTGATTAACATAGATCCAAATCCTATGAATATCACAGCTGTAATCATAAATAGTATTCGTATTTCTTTTGATGTAATTTCCATGGAATTATATTCCGCAACATATTCTTTTGTATCACCCATGCTGCATAATTGTAATATACGAGTTTGTTCCCAATTGTAAATTGCCACAATGAATGTGATGGACAAACATGCTGACAAAGCATCAGATATACCTCTGAAATGATTAAACGTTGAAACAGAAAACCAGTTGCATGAACTATTTTGTTGGCAATATTAGTGTAGATTAAGTAAAACTATGTTCTATTTAATATCTAGGTGGTAACTAAAACTGACAAATCTTGGTTTTCCTTGTGTGGCATTCTTAATTTTTGCAGTTTATAAAATACTACTGTAAATATTGAAGTAGTTTGTTATTTTTTAAACAATAATAAATTTAGAGACCGGATGAGAATAGAAAAGACATTGACGGTCTCATACAATCAATACGAAAATTATGAGACAACTGAGATTTCGAAATACTCAGTACTTAATAAATATAGTCCAATAAAAAGTTTCAAGAGTTACCCTGGTCTATAAGGGATTGATACTGGGCCTAATGTAGAATAATGAACTGAAAGATATGAAGAAATTTCAACCCATCGTCTTACTTTCATTTATACGGTATTAATCTCTAGCTAAATCTCTTCAATAACATAATAAAATTCATTTATCAATACTAATTCTTGGATTAATAGTGCAGTTTATCTGTGAGAGAGTATAGTGTTAGTGATCATAGTGCAGGCTTATAAATTCCAAACAGTTCTACTACATCCTACTGGCATCCTAAATGTTTGGTTATTTTTAGAGAGTATTCGATTTTGAAAAAGGACTATTGACTTTTAACGATGTACTCACGGCTAGTTACTGAAATACTTGGTCGAATTTCTGATGGTTTATAGTAGCAATTTTTAAAACAACCTGAAATTTAAATCTGTCGGAATGTAAATTATTAATTCATCTAGTTCTCAAACTATTCTTTAACTTGTAAACAGGGACATGTTAACAGTACCAAATAAAACTGGGGTTCAATTATTCACTTATTTTATAATAAAGAAATACTCAGTTTATGTAAAAATTACATTACTTAGATTTGAGTATAGTGTAGACAACTGATAGGTTACAGTAATTGATGTAATGACGCTGATAATTTTTATAGATAAATATAAGTGTATTACTTGTTATAAGTTAGTTCGGCATTATAATCTTTTGTTTGAATTAATTATTTTATACAAAATTTTGTTAGCTTGTGTCTTAAAAGGTGGTAACAGATCGACATAACTGATAGATATGCCATTGAATATATAATTGGATCACATCACAATAGCCCACCATATATGTTAAGAAAGACATTGTATTCATTTTAAAACATATCAAAATGAACAGTCATAATATGGGTTAATCATATTTATCATAATTAAGCTAGAGATATATATTTCGTGACAGGATGTTAAGTGATCTTCAACCCAGGTAAGTAATCTTTGTGTTTGCAATGTTTCAAATAACGCTGCTCCAGAAACTTACCTACCGAAATACATTTTGATGAGTTAAGATAAAAATACTCGAAACAACTTTGTCGACAATACCATAGTCGAGGTGAATCACGAAAGAATATAGAGGTTATATATATCCCCCCTTATAGTAAAATTGACTAGGCTGCACCAAGGTGGTTAGTTTTTCGAGTGCAGTGTAAAAAGGGTACACTCGAAAAGCGACAAGTCATGTTCACTGTCCAAGACGTACCAGGATTGGGAGACCACCGAGTTAGAGATAGTCTCCTAGTCGGGTGCCAAATAGCACGAAACCTAGATCTGAGGTGTCCTGTTGACTACCCCCCAACCACCATCTTATAGAAGTAATATTTAGCATTATTTGCTATTAATGAATTAATAAATGATCCACAATATTCTATCTGATTTGGTCATAAGTGGTCAAGATGACTTTTTTATGTGTTTATGTAATTGTAGCCGTATTGATGAAAACTTTGTTCAGTGAACAACTTTGCAGTATTATCACACTTATATTCTTCCACTATATATTCGAGATTATTAAAACAATGGTAGAAGCACATGATGTATGAGGGTTGAGATTAATAAAGACAAACTTTATTGTGATTTCTATAGACATAGAAATGAGTCATTCTATTATCAGCAACAACAGTTAGTTAATCTTCAGTAAAGTAACATTAAGCTCTTCCGATCAATTTCAAATAAATTATATTTACCATAGTGATTAACATTAAAATGGCTTTTCTAGGACTGTATGACTTGTATAGCAACTTGGCAAATACCCATAAATTTAGTGCTGTTATAACGCAATGAAAGAAAAAATGACAAAATATTACATAATCAAAATAAACAACTGAAAATATCTTTAGAAAAACTTTGTTTTATACTAAAACGTAATATCAGTGAATATCAATGAGAAAAAAACATGGTACAGTTCAACCATATCTCTGAGTTCGATGTACTGATAGTGGAAGGTGAACAAAACTACCGGGAACAGCTATACAATGGCTTCTTGTTTCTACTAGTTCTCCAAATAATATCAGCTTACTAAGTAAAGTTCTTTAAAGAATCCGGAAATATTGACAAAATTACTACTTATGATTAAGTACTAAATAAGTGAATATGGAAGTTAACGTCGATGCATATAAATTACTTAATTATAAAGTGTAGTTATCCATTATAAGTGTTACTGTGATTTGCTATAAGTGGGAAGTACCGTTTGTCTGTTCGATTTTAATGAGTACAAAAAAAACGAATAATCAGCTGTTGATTGCATATCATCAGTTATTTTGCACTCACGCATATAATCCGACAGTCTGTGCATTCCAAAAAAATGGACAACCCATTAAATATATGTGGATGTACTGCAGATCTGCTACAACTGTCACAGATACGGAAAAAAGCAATGTCATTACTATTCTCGATAAAGGACTAGAATGTCGAATCGCCTGAAAGAGAGGCAAGAAATGAAAAACGATTTTGAAATTAATTTAGCATGTCAATTAATTAAGAGATTATAAGGCTTAACATTTAATGAATTTGACGTCAGTGTTTAGTTAACTATTACCCTGATCAATTTCATACATAGTCTCAGACTCATTCCGTTGGACAACGATATGTTATTATTCTTATGCGAAATATATTGAAAGCACAATTTTTACAACCTTACAGATCAGTAGATGAACCATGATGAAGAAATTTTAGTTCATGATGAAGTACAGAGACTGCTTCAGATAACTTTAAAGTATGACCTGTTAAATGGATTTATTTTCAATTCAGAATAATCAATAAGTTGTAAACAGACATTTGCGCACGCATTAAAAAAATGTTCACTCATAAAAGATTGGCAGCTAGACCTGGGAATACATTTTAACAAATAATTAAATTAGAACGACTCACTGTTTGGTTTTTAAAAACAGAGGATAGATTCTCATAGAGGCTTGTTAAAGTTAGTCTCCCCTTCTAATAGTTACGCCTGATCACCCTCGTTCAGGAACATATGCTGCCCACCAGCATTCTCCATCGAACTCTGTCCTGGACAATTTTTCAGGTCATTTCTAATCGCTATTCATCCATTTGATATCTGCTTCCGATTCTCGATATAGTGTGTTTCTTGTTTTTCCACGTTCACTCTTTTATTCATGATTCCAAGTTAGGGATTGCCTCTTGATGCAGTTTACTGATTTACGCAACATATGTTCTATCCATCTCCAACGTCTTTTCTTGGTCTCATCTATGGCTTGTTTTCGTCCACAGCAGATTATTGTTAATGTTATCCTTCAACAGAACGTGGAGCATAATTGCAGTTACTTTTATGTCTGACTTCGGTGCTTCATGTGGTATATTGTCAAGTGCTGCTATTTTCCCACACTTGATTTGTCTGTCGTTGAATTTCGGTGACTGGCTTACCTTCTTTGTCCTTGGTCGGTCTCTCTGGTTCACTATATTTTCCTACCAGTTTCTACGTTACGTCATACAGCTCTCTCATGTTTCCTTCTGTGCTTCTTTGATCCTTTTCCAATTGTCTTTCATAGTAGTTTCTTCTTCTTTCAATAGATCTTGTAAGGCTTGAAACCTGATGTTGAGATTTATCTTCAATTCGTTGGGCTTGTTAGTATGTCGAAGGAAGGCTGTACTGGATCTTAGTAGTGCGGTTTCCTCAATTCTCCAGTGCTTCTTTAGCTTCACTTTCATCTTGACCACAACCAAGTGGTGATCTGAACCTATGTCAGCTCTTCTCTTGAATCACACGTCTTCAATTGACCTTTTAAACTTTTCACTGTTGCAAATATGATCGATCTGGTTCTCTGCAGATTGATCCGATGAGATCCATGTAGCTTTGTGTATGACTTCGTGGGAGAATATTGTACCGCTTACGGCCATTTTGTTGATACACATAAATTTGCTAATCTACCATCATTCTTGTTCCTTTCTTCCAGACCATGTTTTCCCCAGACGTTTTCATGTCCGGTGTTGTCCATTCCGACTATGGCGTTTAAGTTTCCCACCAAGGTGGTGAGATCCTTTCTTGGGCAGTTTGCTATGACTGATTGCAGTCTCGAGTAGAACTGATCTTTATTGTTGTTTTTGCTATCATTGGTGTGTGCATAACATTGGATAACGTTCATTATGATCCACTCGTTTGTTTTGAAGGATGATTTGATGATACTAGATGCATGAAATTTCCATCCTATAAGTGCATTTCGTGCTTCTCCGGACAGCCTTAAACAACTCCCTGAGTGTGTGGAGATTTTCTTCTTAGTGACTGGAGTACAGCAGCATCTCTCTCGCACCTAACCTTTTCTGTCCACCTTGTGTCGAATGTGTTTCACTTATTCCGAGCACCGCTAATTTGTATCTTCTTATTTCCGTAGCTATTTGAATAATCATACCGGTCTTTCACGTTGTCCGGACATTTTACGTACTTATATTCATCGTTGCTCTGGTGGTGTTTAGAAGAAGCATGGGTCTCGTGACTTCTGAAAAATCTCAGCCTTCTCCATGAAGCATCATAATTCTCCCGAATGAAGTTTCTTTCACTCGGAGGGTAGAGTTAGATGGTTTGATTTGTTTATCCGAGTTAACGCTTTTTAGCAAGGTTCTTTTCTACGAGATGGGGTTGCTGACATCATGTCCAACCTTACTCCTTTATCCAGCGTTGGGATCGGTAGTAAACCTAGAGAAGCTATAAGCAGAGTTTTAGCTTTTCCCTTGAATAAAAATATTTAAAGAATACATGAGAAAGAACTAAACAAGTAGGAAGAAATTCAGTATTTTAAGAATGGTTAAAGAACATGTTGTGGTATTGGTAAAAATAATAATGTTGACGGTAAGCATCTTGTGTGGATATATGTACAAGAAAATGAAAAGTCATGTGGTAATTACAAGTATTCACACGTTAATTATTTCATTAAATGTGTTTACAACAAAAATTCCGAATAGTACAAAAATGTCATGTTTATATTAGGTAAAATTATGTGTACAGAGTATCTGACTTGTGAAAATCATACTCTAGTATTGTGGTGAACGAGAACACAAGTCGGGACAAGCGAATGTAAATGAATATAAAATTACAGAATATATTGGTAAAATCTAAGAACGGTACAGTAAATACTTCATTTGCGAAATTTCAATCAATCGTCTCGGATTTCATTGTTCTTTCGTTTCCAGACTAACTACTACTTCTCGTTCTCTTTTCTTTGAACTTCCTAACCTTCTACCGCCAAGTATTCCCTTCTTGAATGATGATACATACTGCTTATATCTATCGACATCAATAGGGCACACCACAGTATGAGCAAACGTGTTTGATCAATATGTACAACAAAATATGACATGATGTTTGTGATAGTTACATATGACAGTTTTTAAAACCTCAGATGATGAGTAAGGAAAATTTTTGATTTAACAGAAAATGATGACTAAATTCGTAATTGCCATAATGATGAAAAGTACAGGATAATTAAGTATAAACGTGTTTTAATAAATTAGTGAAATAAACCATACTGATAAATGATTAGTGGTTTTTTGCATAGATATTACAAAGTTTTGTACATAGATTAAATAAAATTAACAGCTGAACGATAACTGCATTAACGAGTTAGTACTCATACCGATGTTATTATTTATCTGAGATAGAAAATCATTGTAGATAATAGTCAGTATTATGAATGAATATTACCAGATCATCTTATTGCAAAATAGCTGAATACATTTACAAGTGATAGTTTTAAGTATTTTTGTGATCTTCATTAAAACTTTCTGAAAGGATTTATAATACCATTGCTGGTACTTAAAAATCGATTAAACTACTATATTTAGTTAACTGACCTACTACAATTCAATCGGTGGACATATCGACCAATAATTCAGTTTTGTAAAGATATAGGTAAACTAGTCGGTTCCAAAAAAATAGTCTTTTTCTAGCAGAGCACAATGATTTGAAACTACCCAACTGAAAGATTTATGAATTTTTTTTTGTTTTCAAAATTTTTTAGCTTGAAAATGTGTTTCTTTTTTTAACAAACATTTAAACCGTATGAAATCATTAAATTCTTCTTGAAATATTTCGTTTTACAACACATTAGATTATGAAAGTGAACCTAAAAGAACAAGTTAGCATGTAAGGGATTTTGAACGATGTTACTTAATGACGTCACCCAAACTAGTTGTATGGTAAGTGTATTTGTGAAGTTTGTGACATGACGGCAAGAAGCGTAAGGGATGGTCTATAATGAACTACCTCTACACTTAATATGGATAAACTCCAGAATTCATTTATGACCCATCCTTATTCATATTCAGTCTTTAACGAAACAAGTAAATATAAGACTTATATGCGCCCAAAAATGATTTTTAATATTTACACTTGAATAATCAGTGAGTAGTGACCAATATTGTTCATTTCAGGTCCTTCTTAGTACTGATCGAATTCTATATGTGAGTTTGCAATGTAGTCACTAGTCTAAGTGATTCGACATCGCGTGCATCATACTGTGTGACAGAGTGGTAGTTGGAAGTAATCGATAGGAATCTCTGGACCTCGGTTTTATATTGTTTGCCACTTGTCATCAAAACGTATCTGTGATCTTGGGGGGAATAGCGCTCCCGGGCGGGTTTGATTCAGTGTCACCTAGCTTCAGAGTCAGAGACGTTACTACACAGCCATTCTGGCCACTACTGACCTTCTGTAAGACTCCTATTGACTAAATTAAACCCTTGCCATTCATTTCAATTGATTTAGAATAATTAAACAGGAAAAACCAATAATTATTCAATGTTTGCCAACATGAACATTTTGAATGTGTCTATTACTGAAAATTCACTGTTATTTCAGAGGGAGATGAAGTGCTATATTACTGTATATAATTGCGTTTAACTCACCAGAGAATATCCAGCTGTCAGTGTATATTGATTCACTTTAAAACAAGTCACATAGCGATCTCCAGTAGCGATCATAGTACATGAAATTCTTCTCTATGGTTTAATCCATGTAGTGCTTCTTACAAGTAAAAAATTGGTGTTTCACCACGTAGAGTTTATTACTTGATGCCCTCATATAAGAAACGTTCCACAAATGTAGGTTGATAATAAGCTAATCATCATTCAGTGATGTCAAGTATTGAACAAGGTGTTCACTTTCTTCCTTTGTCTCACTGATTTTAATGTTTTAAAAGACCGTAAATTAACACGGATTTTCTAATGAATCAAATACAAGATTCAAGTTCACTGGTTTGTTCATACGAATCAAAAAATATTTTTATGAAAACTAGTTAATTGTGTAAACGTTAAGACTAGAATCAGAGAGTTAATTTATATTTCATTAATCTATCCTAGTTTAACAGGTATAAAACTGAGTTAGTGAAGCATTTTTTTTACTAGAATTATTATTTACATCTGAAGAAGCTTTTTAATATTCATGTACAGACAATATGTTCTACAAAGTACGTAACCAGCTATACTATAAAAGATATGATAAGTGGAAGATGATGTGCTCCAGAAGCCATATAACTTGACCTGATATAAAATTAATACTAACCTTGAGCATTTTTATAAATATTCCCATTATTTTAATGATAAATCCACTTGTTTTAATTTCTAAGTAAAGTAGACCATCTTCAGCATATCTAGATTCACTATATTGACAGATAGCATTATTTTGTGGATTACGTCTTCTCCTTAATACATCTGGATTAGTCTCAGGAAGAACTGATAATCCAACTACTGAGGTAGTATATAATCCAATGCATATAGTAACAGAGAGACCGAATCCCAAGCGGTGTACTAGTATACCTACAAAATTAAATTCTACATTTAGATGTAAAATATTTATTTCTTGAAATGGATGAACTTTTTGTATAATAATGGGATGTTCAAAGAGTTTATTTATTTATGGTAAAAGTATATATTAACCCAAACGGAATTTATCAACAGAAGATTTGTAAAGTGTCTCTGTATATGAACTATGATAAGATTTTTATTTCTAAATTACAGTGTACATATTAATTAAATTAGTATTTATGTTAAAACACCTAAAAACATTAACATGTTTTCTTTTATATGAGAAGTGAAAATCAAAAGGGTTGTTTACGTGAACAACCATTATTCTTTGTAGTTACCACTATAAATGATCTTAAGGAGCAAATGGGACTTGTCACCATCTCGCACGCGAGATTCGAACCCAGGACCTTCGGTCTCACCGATTCTTGGTCTCAATCAAAAACTCAACGATCTTGAAAACCCTATACTGATAATTTACTTTTAAAGATAATCTACAATTTTTACAATAACTTACTGTGGTAAGTACCCCGGTGGGAATTTGGATGTTTTAATTTGTGAATACACTTCTCACTTGAATAAAGCAAGTAGATCTATACAGTTAAAAGAAATAGGTTCAGCTACATCCATTAAACCCTTTATTCTATACGTTTATCACAAGGTAATTTGAGTTAACAAAGTTACATATTGATCGCAAACCTGCATTTGATTGAAAGCTTGCTCGTTCTATATTTTTTTCAGAATACTTATTTACATAACAAGTAAGTCATAGTGTGGATGAACATTCCATATGACTAGCAATTATATCGTTGTACATTTCTTCTACACATAGTAATACTAATAATCTCTTAGTTTAATTTCAAAATCAGTTGGATACAGTTAGTCATTACAACTAGTTTGTTTTAATATTGACAATATTCATCCCTGGTTTGTTAACGAAGTTGAACAGTTTTGTTTTGTTTTAATTTTAAAAACAATTCCAAGTTTGATTGAAAAAATATCATTAATTAATACAAGTATTTAATAGAATGTTCTAGATATTAGATTACTTATACTTGTTCATTGACTATATACGGCATCGAAAATGTTGCAATTATTTGGCGAATAGTGCTGTAACTAAGTATCTGCATTATTGCTAAATTTTTAATTCTCTCTATGAGCTATATTCAAACATTTTTTGACACAAATAACATTATAACTAGCAATAAATATATTATAAATTCTTTTAAAATGTGGGCATATTTTGTGTTGCATTTGCGCGTTACACCTATATTGTCTAATCGTACCATTTGATGTCCTACATGAGTTAACGTATTTTATCACCTTATCTAAATGAATAGCTGGTTAGGATGTTTATTCTAGAACAGCTAGCAGTGAAAAGTAATACTCAAATTTCGTCCCATTTAGGATTCACCAAATGAGTGTACCAATGCATGCATTGATGTCCACGCCGAAAGTCAAACCTAGTGTTTCTCACTTCAAACCACTACGCGTTTTCCAATGAGCTATTGAATTCAAATGGACTCTGTCTTGTGCAGTGAGAAATGAATTTTATTGTTTATCTGTAATAGTTTTAATCTTTTCGTTGTGATTTACTTGCGATATCGAGGTAGTCTGCATAGGATTCACATATTGCAGAAGCTACTGATCAGAATTTAGTCGTTCACACTAATAACCATAGGATTTAAACCCTTACAAATAATTTTTAATAATTCTATGCCATGGAGGTTTTGGAATTTTGTTTCAAATTATCATAGTCAGAAGTCAGACAGGCTAATGTTTGAAGTTGATTTATTACTTAATTGTCAGATTTGTTTAAAAAATATCATTATTTATTAATTGCTCGTCAAATGTCTAGTGATCTTTCACTTAAGATTCAGTGTACCCAAATATGACTTATACTGCAAAAAATATAGACGAAAATCAAAAGTAGATTGTAGGCAGACTTTAATTATCAATTCATGAGACTGGAGCTCAAAAGTTGGATATCAAACGGGAAAAATGGGTTCCGTATATCCAACATCATTAGTTTTATTTCCGATATAATCACCAAAATAAAGGACTTACAAACAGTGTTAATAGACATTTGAAAAATAACTCTACTTGGTAGACTATATATTCAATCTATTAGTTTTAAAATTATCTCATTGATAAAGTGAAATTTAACATATTACTTACCTCCAAATAGACTACCACAAGCATGACCTAAACTTGCCAAACTATCATACATCGTAAAAAATAACCACCTGTGCTCTTTAGATGTATATTGTTGATTTAAACTTGAGGTATTGGAATTTTCATTAGAATCTTCCGGTTGTACAGTGATATCAGCTAAACATGCAGATATTTGAGCAGTGAATGATACAAGACCACCGCCAAAAATTCCTTCAAATAAACCGGGAAAAACAACTGTCCATGGATTCAAATTTAAATAGATGATAAAACCTACATGAATGTTATAAAAAAAGAATATAGTTCAAAGAAATTTGTAAAACAGTCAACTAACCATGAATGAATTGCTACATTAGAAAAAAATAAACTGAAAATGTAGTAAAGTCACCCATATTTTTTTAGAATTTTTTCGCTGGTAAACATCGAAGTACCAATAAAGCTCATTACAGCAATCATTAATAATAAACAATATTTGTTTCCATCTAAATAAACAATAAAACTTTAAAAAGTAGAAAAAAATGATTAACAAGAAAGTTTTTTTTAAAACAAAAATCTCACCCATAAGGCCAATATATACTGCTTCACCAAAAATCAATATGCCTAAGGCAATTTTACGACCGAAACGATCTGATATATATCCGATAATAAGGACTGTTGCTAATCCAAAACTTAAACGTATAAGATTACTGATAGATTTTATCCAAGCAGCTTTTGCTTGGACTAACTTCAATTTTTTTTCATCTTCACCATATCTACATATCAGTTTATTTAATAAAAAAAGAAAGAAAAAACTTTCTGAGATAGAAAGATAATATCATAAGGGTTTTTGTGGATATTATAATAATTTCAGTGTTTGAGATCATGAGCCAACTAAAACTAGATCACGATGGAAAAACTGGAAGCACTGGACGGCCGTTTCGTCATAGAATGGGACTTTTCAGAAGTGCGCATTCATAATCCCGCCCCGGCGATATTTAAACTCAGGACCTATCGGTCTCGCGCGCGAACGCTTAACCTCTAGACCATTGAGACGGCATCCAACGGTGTTATTGTCTAACTTCAACCAATTCACGAAATTGAGCCACCATCCACCATTGTCATCAGTGAGTTATTATCTCACAACTGACTTGGTTGAACTCTACTGGTCACTGATTCTCACTAGAACTCCAGGATATACTTCCTGAAGCCAGTCGCTAGTGAGCATATGCTAATTAGTATGAGAAGGGAAGGAGTCCCACAATAGGACGAAACGGCCGTCCAGTGCTTCCACGTTTTCCATGGTGATATAGCTTCAATTGACTCACGATCTCAAACTTTGAAATAGAAAGATAAGTAAAAAAAATTAACGAAATTCTAAATAGTTATTATGAAATTGTCGATGAAACTACTTAAATGAGTATAGGAATATGTATCGCAAATATGTTTTAATATGAGGTATTTAATGATTGTTAACTGAAATTGTTCATGTTGTTCTATATTTATAGTAGTTTCTGTATTCATTCTTATTGTTGGTTGAAATAAATAGAAGGGCGATTTAGTTTGATGTCAGAGTTCCAATAAGAAGATGCTTTACACTTAGTTTATGGTTAAAATAACTCACATTTTAATGAATCAATAGTTTGCCTATTAAACTACGAACCCTTGATCATACAGATGTTGTTTCTGCAAAATGTGCGTAGATATTCGAGTATAAATATAATTGTATACTCTGGAAGATTGTGTACATGAAAGATGAATTAAATACATTTGTCAAATATAGATATTTCGTTGGGCTTTTTTGTTTGTTTGAAGTAAATAGTCAGTGAATAATACTGGAATGAATTATGTTTTCTGATTTATATAACCTTGATATATGCAATGTTATTCAATTAATGATAAGTAACTAATATCTAATTTTTTAGCTAGTTCGTGATAGTTAATAAATCATATCTCCAGCCTTAATGAAAATGAATCAATATTTTCATCAGGAAATACAGGCTGCAATCAACATTCTGTCAAACCTAAATATTGACACAAATTGACCACTTTGAAGTAAACAGTTTTAAGTCTTCTTTGTCCTGAAGGATAACGTCTTTGACTGACCGTTTCCAAATATCTGACATTAGATATTGTACTTGTTTTGTTGAGACGCTTCAACTAGTGACCACAATTCAATTGGATTTGATTACCGCTAGATACTAAATAAGCATGACATTGATTACTATTCAGTGACATACAACTTAAAGTTACTTTTTATACTAAAAGAATAAGACACATAATCAGTCGTTCAATAAAGAAGATAAAGCTTTCTTTCATAAGATAGCAGACAACTAAAATCTCGATAAAACTGAGTAACGTTTTATTGCTTTATACTATGCATTAACTTCTATTTATTCATTGAAGAAATGATGAACAGTTCCAATCATGATACACTAAAATTGAATCAAATTCATATTAAAGTATTAGATTAACATTTTTTTATTTACTACTTACGATTCTTTCTTTCTACTATTACTAAGGAGATGGCCATAAGGTAGACCATGCTCCATTAAATATCTGTAAAACAATAAAAACCAATACAAGCATGGACGTAAATAATCGATATTCTTATTTATTTCACGAAACAAAGAACTAAAATATATGTAGATAAAGTAAATTTTTCAATGTATTTCGATTTGATATCCTAAAGGACCTTTTAGATAATGAAAACACGTTGGGCATAACACATAAAACTGAATCCAATTGGTGTAACGAAGAGTAAACTATCTTCAAATTACACAAATTCTTAAATAAAAACGTTTTCAAGTATATTTTTGTGGAGTGAAATAGACTATTGCCGATTCTCACACTAGCTTCACGATGGGGTCAGTTATTAAACAGCCGGACATTAATTTATATGAGGAGGTCATTGAAAACTACACAGTGCTTTTCTAAATTGAGTTCGTGACCAGAAAAGATATTAAAGATGATGAGTTCTCGGCACATCCCTTGAAACACAATTGGTTAAGATATGCATAGCCTGCATAAGAACCCGATTTTCCCAGGCAAACCAATTTCATCAACATATGAAACTTTCAGAGGATTATTACTCAGTCATGTGCAGTGTGCCAGCCACCTCTCAAGAAAGAGAGAATCAAAATTTCATGAAATGGTGTGACAGAATGACCGGAAAGGCAGAGACTTCGTACTTCAACTGCAGAAATAGGCTGAAGTGTGCAATTTTGGAGGATAGTTGAAAATCCAATTTCGTGATCGGTTAACTACTGGGATACATATTGAGAATTTCTAAAGAGGAATAATTCGAAGACCCAAAAGTTTATTTCAGAAAATACAAACATCGTGTACTAACTATGAGGCAGTTAATGAATTTAACTTCCAGTTAGCGAAAATCTCCAATAATTCTCTCAGTTCTTATGACTAATTACATTATCAAGGATGCTCAACTTCGCGTTTGTCAAATAACAGTTTCCATTATCATAGAAATATGTAAAACGATTCAGTACAGTCTTGAAGCAGCATATAACAGTGAGCACAGATTCGGTAAACGTTTATCCTGTAGTAAATAACATTCTCGGGAATTACATTCAATTCATGATGTAAAATCCTTTAATTATATTAAAATTAGACACATAAAGTTGGTGTGTAGGACTATTGTATATTTTGTTACTAGAGATTTTAAATCTTGCAATTCAGATCATAACAAGAAAAGTGTTTCTAATGGTCATATATTATGTTTATCTACGATTTCGAAATGTATTTTTCACACTCGAAAGCAATTATACACATACTCTGGTTCATTCTGTGATTTTACAATTGATACAAACAGTAAAGAACCCAATGCTCTATTCAAAAGCCTAGCCTTCGGTTTCTAACACTGCAGTACAACCCACTGATGTTTTGGTTTGAGGAATCGCCGGACACAAGGAAGTAGTCTATTAATGACTAGAGATGAAGGTTTTCCATCAATGCTTTGTGGGCTTTTCGTAAACGAAACAATACTGGATTTGAAAGTTATGAAAGGGCTTAAAGAGAAGCTGTCTTAATTAGCTTCCAAAGAAGATACTGATACTTAGATGTTTTGCTGCTTCATCTACTAAGTGCAGTAGAAAGGATGAGAATCCGGTCTCTAGAACTCCTAGTATGTGGTGATACAGTATTTTTAAATGAAGAATAATTCCTTATAGTTTTTGAGGAGCAATGCATGAGGCAATGAATCATTTGTATGAAAAAAATGACTGAGCCCGTTTAGATTTCAGAGTGGTATACACACACTATTACGCCTTTGAAGTCCGATGATGAAACCTTTAGAATATGTGATGATTAGAAGTTGACATTGAATTCATGTATGTTGAAGCAAACATGCATCCCAGTTGAAACTGAAAATATCCTCAATCGACTTCGTGGTTCTAAGGTATTCTCAAAATTCGAAAAATCACAGAATTACGTTTACTAGTGGATGCTCTTCAATAATATTTCTATTTTAATTCCCATTTTTTAATGCCATGTCAACTGTTTATTTCAAATGAAGTGAGGAACAGGAGTCATGCTCACAAAGTCTGTGAATGCTTCTTCTAAGTGATGATGTTCTTCGTACTAACCCTTCTTATGTGCCTTTTGTACTTATTACTGATGCATCATCTGTGGATCTTGCTGCAGTTTTGGGGCAGGAAGGTAGATCAGTAATCTGTTTTTCACGCAAACTAACTGTTACTGAACAAGGTTATTAACAAACTTAGCGAGAAGCGTTGGCTGTATTTTTAAGTTGGTAAACGACTTGATAAATGTTTATCTGGAATGAAATTCATTACTGTTACAGATCGTGAAACACTGAAGTTCATTTATCATCACGAAAAATTCATAACACGTTCCTCAGCTGCTATAGTTCAACAATGAAGTATTTATGACCATACTACTTAACACAGAAATGTTAAATAATTCAACACGTCAATTACAGTCACTGTTTATTAATGAAACCTTTATCGGTAAGCCGCCAATATTTTATTAGAAAAACTCATCGATACACTGGATTATACTCAGTCATGCGAAAACATTGGAATGTTAGTCTGGAACTTGGAGTTTCGGTCTGTTTCGACAAGCAGGATAAATTTCCCACTATCCCTGGTGGTTTTGTGTGTTTAAATGATCTTGTTACTATTACTCCTTAATTATGTATATCTATCATTGAGGATCTTCATTTTAGACATTCAGATTCTGAAAAAAGTGAAATCTTTGGAAAAGATCGGATGTTAGTGATCGTGGATAAGTTTGAATAAATGTTGCACAGTAATTAATTTTGTAAGGTGTCAAAGGTCGAAAAGTCATGCTTCTAAATGGACTTCTTGTTCAGTATCGTCTGAGATTCGGAAGAGAATTCATGCAAATTTTTGTGGTTCATTTCTTTGCAAACATTATACGCTTGTTTTCATTGATTATTTTTTAATTGACTTGAGTTTTTTCCATGATTTCACTGAATTCTGACTTGACAATCAAAGTGCTGGATAAAGCGTTTAGCCGAGAAAGTGTCCCTATGGAACTAGTAACTGACAATAGCTTTCATTTTGCTGAAGATGCAGTTACTAATTAGTTGAATATTGTGTAGTGCAAATATTTGGCCACTGCTCATAGACAACCTTGTTCTAATGACCAGGCAGAAAAGTTTGTCAGAACATTGAAGAGTGATATCGGTCCCATTACTGCTACAACATTCGATGAACCGGAGAGGATAGTAGACGAACTTCTACTTCAATATAGAAACGTCAAACATTCTGTAAGGAAAGAAAATCCATTGACGATATTAAATGAAGGGATTCTTCATACTAATATGATGCACCTGGAATTTGCAGAAGTTAAATATTATCGTGCAAATGATCTCTGACCATCCACGGAGATTGTGGTGAAGAATGTTGGAAAATCTTTGTTTTGAATTCTAAGTACGAATGATTTAAGTGCACACGACCGACATGTTGATGAAATACAATCACAGGAACGAGGTGAGTTTGTTCTAATTTTTGCTGTTAGTTCTAGTGCTAATTAGTATATTCTAAACGTTACTGAGTGTATACCCAATACATAGCCTGGCAAACAAAGAACGGAACTACGAGAAAAAAGTACAGTAGATTGCAGAAATCCGGATATCCATTTTAGCTATAGTTGTTGTGGTATTTGTACTACTTGATGATTTCTTTTTTTCGTGATTCCGTGGCTGACTATAACTTCAAATACAATACATTCAGTTGTGCTCACTATATTCTCCATGACTTTGACGCTGATATTTATAGGACTCAGACATTTAATAAATTCTCTTGTGTCCGGTTATTACAGTTACATAAATGACCATAAACTTGCTAATAACCTTTAACCCCATTGTAATGACTTATATTCAATGCGAATTTCCCGATTTGTAATTTGTTTTTCTTATGGCATTAAAGTACACTTTTAATCGTAGTAGTGTTTTCAAGTCTGCATTTACTGATGAGTATTGGCGAGCTGCAATAAAAAAATTCACTTCATACAAGTCCATGCTAATACTACATCTATGGGTTCTTCAATTGATTAGGTTCTTATGTCATTATTTTAAATAATACCAGATGAAAGTAATCAATACGGATTATGAAAGCTACAATTCTGAGACCTTATATTAAAAAAAGGAATAGAAAAACATATCGATATCTCATGAGTAAACACAAGAAAGCAATAATTAAAGAAACGGTAGAACAATATACTAAGTACATAGTATTTTGACTGTCTTCAAAAAGTAATAAGTTAGGGTGGAAATGGATAGCCAAGCACTATTTAATTTCTAGCAAAAATATTTTAGTATAAATTTAATAGTAAATTTAATGAATGCTCACTGTTGAGATGTTCCATACTAAGAGAAAACGGCCATTCAGTTATTTCAGGTTTTCCCTAGTGATCATGAATTCAACTATTAAATTACTAATAATATCTACAAAACCCTTTTCTGAATATATGCATATATTTTAAAATTTATTACATGTAATATAAGTAAAACCATAAGATGCATTCAAATCAATCAAACTGAGAGTATATAGATCAACGTAATCAATCTAAATAAACTTAAGTGCCAAATAGTGCACTAATTCTAGTAGTAAAATAAATGAAATTAATCATTTATTTCAAATGTTTCCATTTTTCTTTATCAGATAAATATTGACTCTCTATATAAAACAAGTACATGTAATTTCCAGTTAATAACTTGAGAATCATTCCATTCAATTTTATCAATAAATACAAGTTATAATGTCTATATCCTTGAGTAGTTAATTATGGTTTTTTTGGACACTAAGTATTAATTAAAGTTAGTTTTTGCGTTTCTAAGGAAGAAAAAAAAGACCTGAATAGAGACAAATGATTTTACATTGTAAATTTACTTGATATTGTTTACTTGAATCTTTTCACTGATGTTTAGGACTGCAATTGATCAGTCTCTTATTGGCATATGTGCATACTGTGCGTATTGTCTCGATAATGCCTTAATTCACAAGCATTCTAAGCAAAGATGGATAGTGGCTAGCACTGGAATCCACCCCATTGCACAAGTAAGTAGCTATCAGCACTCGATAGCTAAGTGGATAACACAGTGGCGTTTGAAGCGAAAAGTAATGGGTTCGAGTCCCAGAGTGAACATGAACTCTATGATGCAGGTAAATCCAGCTGAAGAGTCTTAAGTAGGATGAAATGTGCATCCTGGTTTGCACTGCTAGCTACTATCCATCTTTCTTTAGAATGCTTGTGAGTTAAGGCAATATCGAGGTAATACACACAGTATGCACATATACCAATAAGAGATTGATCAACTGTAGTTCTAAACATCAATGGGGAGGTTCAAGTAAACAATACCAAGTGTATTTTCAAAATATTATAGATATAAACTAGATGGTGTATTATTGACCATTCTCTGATAAATAGGAATGTTTTTCACACTTAGTCAAATTTACTTTTTTACTTATAAGATCCTAATGTAATACTATTAAGAAATGATAAATGGACAAGTTCAAAAGAATTTTGTCAGGTAATCAGTTTATTAACACCAACATACATATGATTATTGTAATTAACTGGATAATTCTCACCGCTTTTAATGAATGAACAAAAAACAACTTAATTAAAGGAAGACAATTACTGCCATTTCCACTTAGTCTAGTAAACAATATATATTTCCTATTTTATTTATAAATGAGTTATCCACAAAAATTAATTCTTAAGTTTTAGATGACTATCGATTATATCTTTTGTGTTTAATGTCTCGAACATAGTATTGACTATTTACGGAAAAGAAGTGACTTTTTACAAAGGCTATCTGTAACCTCCTTGAGTCAACAAGTCAATTCTTGTATGGAATTGTCGTAAATAAGAATACGAGTGGGGATAATCGAATGTAATTGAGCATGGAATCACAGAATATCTCACTTAAATCAGAAAACCATATAGTAAATACTTAGTTTGCAAAATATCACTCAATTCCCTGAAACCTGACTTTTCCTTCTACCAATATCATTCCATTGTCTCAGATTTCATTGTTCCTGCATTTTTGTAACAATTGCCTTCCGTTTCCCTTCTTTCCTTCTCAATCTTCTACTGAAATACATTCTATGTTTAAACATCGTTATATACTACTTATGTGGATATAAGTAGCTCACGCCACAACACCATTCAGATTTGTTCACGTTGTTAATAGTCTAATAACACATTTATACTGTTTTCTTCCTTTGCAACACTGTTGTAAATCATTTTCATATTATTTTATGAAGAAACTACTTGTTGAATATAAACATTAACCTGATTGCAAATTCGTTTATCTGTATTGTTAATCCGTATGATACTCAAAATTGGTTTACATACCTCTTTGTAACATTCATTACAGAATGTGTTATAACTATTACTAATAATATGAATAATTAGATATAATACAAATGTATGTATAAAAGTATATCTAATCTTTAATGAAAATGATATTCAACTTACTTATATATCACATATTGATCAGAGACAAATAAACATGTTTCAACAGCAACATATAATAATGTTGTTATAATGATAAGAATGATTAACACTTTTAAATTTTGATTTTTACATTTAAATTCAAGCATTTGAGAAAGAAAGTGAGTAAATTATCTAAACCTTATGGAGGAATAGATAGATTCTTTTTTCCTTTAATTTTTGTTACTCTTATCGTTGTTGTTGTTATTGTTGTTGTTGTTAATATGATTCACAATATGTAACAAACATGTTCTCTTTTTTTTTTAGTTTTATTATAATATTAGGCAACCAATCATATGTGTAATACATTAAAATGCTGATTGTAATTTGTCATTCATTTATCAATAATTATGTATGCAATGATTGAATATCTTAACAATACAATCTGATTAAACAATTTGGTATATATAGATGATACATGTAATGTTTTTTTTTCCAAATTGTTGTGCAAAACATTCTTCTGTGAAAGTAAAAAAACAAAACAATTTATTGATTTATTGGATCCTATACTATTTCCATTTACTTTGATGAATAGAGAATTAAACACATTTTATTGACATGACTAATTTCAAGGATAATGTTTAGTTTATTAGTAGCTTCTAGTAGTGTTTAAATATCAGTCAGAAGTTTTTGATCACATTGTAGTTAAGTGGTATTTGTGAGTTTTAGTAAAGATTACATTGTTATTTACAGTAGCAATGATCCTTGAAATATTCTATATGCTTTTATATTTGCGAAACAATGGAACGATATCAGTTTACTTACAAATGTGAGACTAATCGCTATTGATTTCCTAAGCAATTTTGATCAAAAGAATGTTAAAATAGTTTATTCAGGTTCTTCTTTGGGCTTATCAACTTCTGGCATGTTGAAGTTATTAATCATTCTATCCATTTATATCTCCAATTCATAGCGTTCTTCCTATCTTCTAGTAGATTCTGTAAGGCTTGAAACGTACTGCTGAAGGTTATCTTTGATTCCTTAAATTTGTTTACGTCTCGAAAGTGGGTTGTAATAAACCCTTGTAGTATTGCTTGTTCAACTATCCAAAACTTCTTTAGCTACAGTTTTATTTTGACTACCTTTGGGTAGTGATCTTGCGCTAGATCAGCTCTTGTTTTTTATTACGTTTTGATAAATTTTCCGAACTTTTTACTTATACATATGTGATTCATCTACTTTTACATAGTGTGATCAAATGAAACTTAGGCACTTTTGCGATTACGTTCATGAGGTAGAATACTGCCACCTCAGATCATTTTCTTGAAAATGTATAAGTTTACTAGTCTATGAGCTGGTAGGTAGCATTATTGAGTCCAATGCATCATCAGCTTAACACTCAATCAATTTATTATAAATATTTACCAAGGAAAAGAGCTACAACCAAAGCTTGAAGTGTATCATCTTAATGAATGAAAAATAAATTCTTGAATAATAATAAATACATTTCCTAAGTTTCAAATTAATTGGTAAAATATAGTTATAAACTAAAGAAAAACATATTTGTAAGTAATTAATTTAGTATTTGAGTGTTTGTTCTCGATGTAAGTGTATCGCATTTCAAATATGTGGAAATCCTCACAGTAAACGATCGTATATACATTTATTAATATGATAATTCAATATGAAAATTGATATCACGGCGAGACTCTGATTTATGGGCGACCTTTGAACGAATCCTGAGTGACCTTGAAAAATATTAGTCAATCAGCAAACAGTCAGTATAGAGTAAAAATAAATTATACAAAACCAAGGAAATAAAATGGATACACTTCTTATACGTGGTTCGAAAACTTGTCAAGGTTAGAAAGAGTTTCAGAGGTTCTGGAATCTCAATGCATGCAGTAGAAGAAATCATTCAAACGGCTACAGAATAGTCGGCTTCTGGAGTCATGATAAAGTCTCAAAAACTCTTTCAACCTCGACCACATAGTTTCAATATTGTTTATGTGCACTCCGGTTGCTGAGTGCACAAAATGCTACTTGTGGATAACGACACGATGCATATAACCAAGCCTATGTAGGAGTCTGTACACTCTATAAACATCCATATATATTGTAGCACCTGGCTCCAGCCAGTATTACTGGTACTTTTACTATCCAGTTCGCGGTAATTGTCGTAATTTGCCTTACTTAGGAATTATATATGGGGTTTTCATCACGAACTGACATCAGCTATAATGCCAGAAATTTATTTAGCCAAATGGATGAAAGGCTTTCGCATTAAAATCCGGGATCTATTATCTTATACCTGATTGATTCGTCCACAAATTATAGTCCCGCCGTTTTATTTCTTATAGCCACTCAGTTATCACGTTTTGTACAAAATTCCCTGTGAACCGATCGTAAGTTAGCATTAATCACTGAAGTTGGCACCGTAACCTTGAAATCTCTAAAACGCTTCTGACTGGCTCGTCCATAAATTAGAGTCTCGTCGATATCACATTAAAAGAATAAAAATAGATATAATTTGCTAAACCAAACTATAAATAATAATCCTAGATTTGTAGTAGCATTAAGTATATTTTTATATCAATCACTTACTTACTTACGCTTGTTATCCCTCATAGAAGAGAATAGGCCACCCGACAGCATAATCCATCTAACTCTGTCCTGGACAATCCTTTCCAGTTTTATTGATCCTTTTCATGTCTGCTTTCAATATACTTTCCTAGTGATGAGAAATTATTGAAAAGAAAATTCTTCGTTCATACAATTGTGTTTTTAATATAATGGGAATTTTCCGGAGATTTCCTAGTGTAAATCATGAATATCTTTGATAACAGATGAAACCATCTGCAAAAGTTAACAATTTTTCTGAATTCACCTGAGTGTTTTGTGACGATCTATGTAGTTAACAAAAAGGATAAAAAACTGTATGCTTTTAGATACCCACAACACTGATCATCTGTTATTCGTTAAGAGATGGAAGTTAGAAAATTAGGATCTATCGAATACATTTTTATGGAACGAATGGACTCAAAATAAGATTGTCTACGTAAACATATGTATACATATATTCTATTTTTGAAATTTTCACTTTTAAGTTATAAATGAACATTCGAACTAAACAGTTACATATCAAGTTAGTATTTTAACTCTAAACTTAATGTATGATGATGATTAAAATTTCTAATATTCATGTATAGGAAATATGAACTATGTAGAAATTTGTCTTTCATAATGAATACAGTGTGACAAACATAAGTTTATCATCAACTAACGTATCCTCAATGAACCCAACGATTAATTTTGTATCTTTAACAATATTTGACTTGATAATTTCGAATTAGTTATAATGTAATGATATATTCGTGTTTTCCTGATGAATGTAAATTAGAATCTCCAGAGTTTTCGAACATCCTTCAAGTCGTTTCTTCAGAGAGTAAATAAATAACTGAGTTTGATTATCAAAATAATACAACAGTAAAACTGTTTTTTTAGTTAAAACTGAAGCCTGATTCAATTAAAATATTTAGTAAATAAACATGTGTTTTCAATCAAAATCTTCCAAATATAAAATATTTATGTATCATAATTTTATTTATGGATAAACACTTGTATCATCGTCTTATTCTTACAGTATTTGCCATAATATTGATCATTACAAAAGTGTAATCTGTAGGATGCTTGTTTGTTCTCAGCTTTTACACTGCGATAATAATTAGTGCTTTTTCAAGCATCCAGAATATACATTTTAAGGTCCAGGTGGTTAGACTGTAAGTAATTTCTTTCCTGTTGGGAAATGATATAAAAGAAGGTTTCTGACTACCAACAGAATACAAGATGAAAATAACAAATCTATGAATTTGATAAAATCATCCTAAAATATATTGTGCTGGGACTGAACACCTTTCGTGTACATAAGTAGTAACTGTTCGAGGTATTATTCTGCTGAAGGTATGTAGTCAGAATACTGGGAAATTATGTTTGTGGCTTCAAGAAGTTGTATTTCAGAAACCGAGGATATTATGATAAACGAGACCATTGACCTATCAAAAATGTCAATGTAATTCGGCATTTCAACAAACCAGAATGAATCTTTTAACATATGTACTGTTAATCGTTACTTGTGATTCATTTCCTATTAAATCAGTTAAATCGTAATTACATTTGTTAGTCTCATTTTTTCGTTCAGGGTTGACTTCCTCTCACAAGCATGATCAAACGATCTCGGTAATATGCTCCGTTAACATTTATGTGGTTGCGATTTCGTTGCCTTGTCATTCTTCTAGAGGTTTCGTAATGCAATAAGGTAAATAATATCAACTCATTTGGATTTGAACCAGCCATTCTTTTTTTCACTCACTTGTTGCATATCTTTCAATTCATCATTAGAATTTTCGAATTTAGCTTCTGTATCAATCCTTTTGGTACTTGTTTTAGGGATATGGAATTTAAATCTCAGAGGGAGAGATTCAGTTTTCATTTGACCTAACTTCAGATTTGATAAACATTAATCATAGATCTCGTATACTTCACGAAAATCTCCTGAGAACAATCAACATACTTTACTTAAAAATGCAGTTGAAGATTTATAGTTGAGAGATTACTATCAGCTTGTCTCTCTAATAAGTACTGTTGTTTGGCGAAATGAGTTCACACTTAGTTGTTTTGATTTCCTGGGTGATAAATAGGTATAATTGACCCATCATATCGATAACATTTATTCTGAAAAATGTCTATTTGAAATTTTTACTACTAATAGTAGTAAGGATAAACAACCAATTTTTTTGATGTAAACACCCTCTTTACAAATGTATCTTTAAAAAGACTATACGGAAAGATTATCCCATATATTCGAATAATCTTGGATGACCTATTCTTTTAGAAATTTTTAGAGATTTATTACTAATATACACCGATATAGTTGAGTTCTTAATTCATTGTGAAAATGTCTAACAGATTGGTAGGGCTTCTATGAGTAGCCCTTTAGGATCATTATTAGGTGATGTCCTAGTCATATGTCGAAATTTAGCTGAGGGCCTAATTGAAGATGTATGCCTTTATACGAGACATGTGGATTGTACGTTTATGGCTAAACGGAAGACCGAAATTATTTATTAATTAAACTTGGCATTTCAGAACCACAATCAATTAATTTAAGGAG